TGGCCTAGTCAAAGTCCAGACCTAATCCCAATTGAGATGTTGTGGCAGGACTTGAAACGAGCAGTTCATGCTTGAAAACCCACACGTCACTGAGTTAAAGCAGTTCTGCATGGAAGAGTGGGCCAAAATTCCTCCACAGCGACGTGAGAGACTGATCAACAACTACAGGAAGCATTTGGTTGGAGTCATTGCAGCTAAAGGTGGCACAACCAGTTATTGAGTGTAAGGGGGCAATTACTTTTTCACACAGGGGAATTGGGTGTTGCATAACTTTGTTTATGAAATAAATGAAATAAATATGTAATTGTTGTGTTATTTGTTCACTTATGTTCCCTTTATCTAATGTTAGGTTTTGGTTGAAGATCTGATAACATTCAGTATCACAAATATGCAAAAGTAGAGAAAATTTGAAAGGGGTCAAATACTTTTTCATAGCACTGTACAGTGCATTCTGAAAGTATTCAGACCCCTTCACTTTTTCCACATTTTGTTACGTTACAGCCTTATTCTAAAATGGATTTTTTTTTTTTTACTCATCAATCTACACACAATACCCCATAATGGCAAAGCAAAAACAGTTTTTTGAAATTTGTGCAGATGTATTAACAATAAAAAAGAGAAATACCTTATCTACATAAGTATTTAGACCCTTTGTTATGAGGCTCGAAATTGAGATCAAGATGCATCCTGTTTCCATTGATCATCCTTGAGATGTTTCTACAACTTGATTGGAGTTCACCTGTTTTAAATTCAATTGATTGGACATGATTTGGAAAGGCACACACCTGTCTATATAAGGTCCCACAGTTGACAGTGCATGTCAGAGCAAAAACCAAGCAATGAGGTTGAACGAATTATCCGTAGAGCACCGAGACAGGATTGTGTCGAGGCACAGATCTGGGGAAGGGTACCAAAACATTTCTGCAGCATTGAATGTCCCCAAGAACACAGTGGCCTCCATCATTCTTAAATGGAAGAAGTTTAGAAGCACCAAGACTCTTTCTAAAGCTGGCCGCCCGGTCAAACTGAGCAATCGGGGGAGAAGGGCCTTGGTCAAGGAGGTGACCAAGAACCTGATGGTCACTCTGACAGAGCGCCAGAGTTCTTCTGTGGAGATGGGAGAACCTTCCAGAAGGACAACCATCTCTGCAGCCCTCCACCAATCAGGCCTTTATGGTAGAGTGGCCAGATGGAAGCCACTCCTCAGTAAAATGCACATGACAGCCTGCTTGGAGTTTGCCAAAAGGCACCTAAAGGACTCTCAGACCATGAGAAACAAGATTCTCTGGTCTGATGAAAACAACATTGAACTCTTTGGCTTGGATGCCAAGCATCACGTCTGGAGGAAACCTAGCACCATCCCTACGGTGAAGCATGGTGGTGGCAGCATCATCATGTGGGGATGTTTTTCAGTGGCAGGGACTGGGAGACTAGTCAGGCTTGAGTGAAAGATGAACAGAGCAAAGTACAGAGAGATCCTTGATGAAAACCTGCTCCAGAGAGCTCAGGACCTCAAACTGGGGCGAAGGTCTACCTTCCAACAGGACAACGACCCTAAGCACACAGCCAAGAGAACGCAGGAGTGGCTATGAATGTCCTTGAATGGCCCAGCCAGAGCCCTGACTTGAACCTGATCGAAACATCTCTGTAGAGACCTGAAAATAGCTGTGCAGTGACGCTCCCCATCCAACCTAACAGAGCTTGAGAGGATCTGCAGAGAAGAATGGGAGAAACTCCCCAAATACAGGTGTGCCAAGCTTGTAGCGTCATACCCAAGAAGACTCAAGGCTGTAATTGCTGGCAAAGGTGCTTCAACAAAGTACTGAGTAAAGGGTCTGAATACTTATGTAAATGTGATATTTCCGTTTCTTTTTTATTTCGAAAAAACCTGTTTTTGCTTCGTCATTGTGGGGTATTGTGTGTAGATAGATGAGGGGGGAAAAAACATTTTAATCAATTTTAGAATAAGGCTATATATAACGTAACAAAATGTGGAAAAAGTCAAGGGGTCTGAATACTTTCCGAATGCACTGTCAGTGTTTTTACATGTAAAGTAATGACACTGTGTATAGCCATTGATTCTTGAAGAATGTAATTTGTAATGCCTGATGAGCTTATTCAACTGTCTTACACCATCAGAACCCTAAATATAAACTTGTTTTACTCCATTGTTTGTAAACTATGTAATTGTAAATAAACACTGTATAGCTCCAAAACATGGTTAAGACTTTAATTTTTATCTCATGGATGAGCAGTCCTTGCATCCATAGCTCTGTCTATGAATTTGATAGTGGTTACATTTCTCCAGCCCCATCCCTCAGCTGTTTACCAGGTGTTTGTCTTTTACTTTTCATTAATAAACTTCCTATAGGGCAGTCCATTACATTTATAAACTCTATAGGCCAGCCGCCCATTATCATGAAGACTGCACAAAAGCACAATCAATTTATAATCTATCAATTTCTTTATTTTATTTTCCATCGCCTTTTAGTAAAGTTCAAGAAGTCAATTTGTTAACAGAGCTGTAGAAGAAGGGGTAAAGGAGAAGAAGCAGAGTGTCAATTCAAAGTTGTAAGAAATGCATTAAATGAGACTGACTTCTCTGTTTCTTCGTGATGATGAAATAACCACCGTTATGTTACAGTTTGGTTATACATAAACCAGCCAGTAGATAGTGATAGTATTAGTTTCAGTGAGGGATCACTTTTTGTGATTGCTTTACATAAACCAGCCAATAGATGGCGCCTAGTAGCCTACGTGATCATACGTGATACAGTTATGTAATACATTTGGAATTTTACCCCGAGACTATTGACCTCAAAGATATAGACGGACCCGTCATAATCTATCTTGCTATAACCTACTCAAGTTGATAAGGGACCACTGTACCACATAACAGCCTAGCTGATGCGGATCGAGGTATATAAAAAAAAATGGCTCAATCCATCATCGGCAAGAACGGGACTGAATCGCCCGAACCTGTCAAAGCAGAAGTAACAGGTAGGCGGTAGGCGTAACCGTTGTTGTACAAGCTAGCCGATCTTTAAAGGTGTTATTACTATGTCAGTAAGTTATTTTCCATTTTGCTAGTGTCTTGCATAATACAAAATATTTTTCCTTTCTTATGAGCAACTTTATTTTTTAACGTTGACACGTTCTGATTAATCTCTCGTGCAGTGTTTCCAACTATTTCCCAGTGAGATCCGCTATTGGCTCCGCTAGAAGTCCCTAGATGATGTTTTGCCGTTGCCGCGACGACATCACAGCACCAATTTGTCTTGCTGCAGAAGAGCTGCGGACCACGAAGTAGCGTTTCGCCCCATCTCTCGCAGCACACCCATCCCTTTGGGATTCTCTGCCTGTGTGTTCGCGGTTGCTGTGACTTCTGTTACACAGACAGCTTCTCTCACTCTAGTTTGCCTTAGAATTGATTGGGAAAATATGGAGCGAGATAGCTGCCAAAATGTTGAATGTAGGTATTGTTAGGATCGTAAGAAAAGCCATGCATGAAACATGAAATGTAAACGTTAAATTAGATCTGTAAACGTAAAAACCCAAAGTTACGACTATGAATTAACATTTACACGTTCAATTCTTACTTTACATCTCCCTTTACTCGGTTACATATATTTTTTATGTGTCAAAACTTTTGTCAGTAATGTGGCATCTGCAAAGGACATGAACCGAACGTAACTTGTCGAAGTTAGCTAGTCAATCGAGCAACTCTAGTCCAGACGTTAGAGTTGCTTTGCAGCTTTCGGTTTCATTTCCAAAATAAAACTCAAGAGCTTGTTTTTGAACTGCATTCAATAACGACGTTATACATCGTAGATGGCGTAGGATAGGCTTGGGCCTTCAGCAAATGACTTGTGTGAGAATGATAAAGACACAGAAGAGCCGTATCTAGAATAACCGCCTGAGCTGCAAAATATAAATTAAATGTGATTTAGGCTAGGCCTATTCCGCTATCTGTGGTCCTCTGTAGCTCAATTGGTAGAGCATGGCGCTGGTAATGCCAGGGTAGTGGGTTCGATCCCCGGGACCACCCATACGTAAAAATGTATGCGCACATGACTGTAAGTCTCTTTGGATAAAAGTGTCTGCTAAATGGCATATTATATTAAATATGCCATGCTGTTGTGTGTTATTAAATGGCCATATAATTGCAGAATTTGTTTTTTACATCTGTGTGGGGCTACTGTGGTGATTATGTAACCTAATGAATCACACTTTTTCCAGTATTTGGGAGCATGGACTGTAGGCATTTTGACTGTTGTATTAGTGAATTCCACTCTGCATGTAGGCTTTTTATAGCCATTTGTGTTGCACAACCCCATAATGCAGAGGCTATAGCTATATCAATAAACAAAACAAAACAAAATATTGATTAAGTCTTGGCTATAACCTGTCCTGAGGAAATAGCCAAGGGGTCCCAAATGGTCAAGACTATCTATAGCCTATTCTTATTGCCAGATCTGTTTTCCCTATCAGCCACTGCATGTGCTTCTTCAACTATGTTGTTTAAAATATATTTAGAGGCTATATTTAGAGGCCTGTGAGCTAGGGACTCTTTAAGGGGAGCCCTATAATAAACACAGTTATAAAACATAAATAGAGTTCTAAAATTATTCTGCAAGACAATAAGTACCCAAAATGATAGCCTAAATTGCAATGCCTACAAGTTGAAGGCCTATTTTTTAATCAATTATTTGGTGACGTGATTATATTTAGTTTAGTTTTATCTAAAAAGGATAACTTTTTTTATGTTTTACCATTTTTATTTTTCTGAAAATCACTGAGGAGGATGGTCCTCCCCTTCCTCCTCTGATGAGCCTCCACTGACACACACACCTATATACAGTATATGAGGTATCATGCACCTCTATTGTAAACTTTCAACAATGATCAAATGTGCCATTCAAAAAAATATATAGGCTGAAGGTCAAACTTTATCAGGGATCAGCTCCATTTCTACATTGTTTGGTTTATGACATGAAAATATGGTAAAAATGAAAACATGTATTATGTGTCCTGTATCTTCTGTGCTTGCAGGATGTGTCCCTGAGTGGTTACAAGGGACATTGCTGCGCAATGGTCCTGGTCTTTTTAAAGTGGGAGACACTGAATACAACCACTGGTTTGATGGCATGGCCTTAATTCATAGTTTCACCTTCAAAGATGGTGAGACACATGATACATTTCCACAAATGGTAAACACTTTCCTAACTGGCTGAATAGGGCTGAGAATCTTTGTGTTTTACAGGTGATGTGTACTACAGGAGTAAATTCCTGAGGAGTGACACCTTCAAGAAGAACATTCAGGCAAACAAGATTGTTGTGTCAGAATTTGGGACCATGATATGTCCTGATCCCTGCAAAAACATATTTTCAAAGTAATTCATAGATTTTTTGAACATGATTTGTAGTTTATTTGTTCTTGTTTTTACATTTCCCTTACATGGATATCCACACAAAATATATATTGACAAACATAACCAAAAACACATTATGTAATAATACATTATGTATCTTGTCCTTTTTTCAGAGCCTTCTCCTACCTTCTCGCTGCCATCCCTGACTTCACAGATAACAACCTGATAAATATCATTAGATATGGTGAGGACTACTATGCCTCATCAGAAGTCAACTACATGAATCAAATTGACCCAATGACCCTGGACGTAATTGGAAAGGTAAATTCAAATCTCTTGAAATGATCACTGTTCATGTAATCTATTATCAATGGCTTTAATATATTCTCCCTTTGCCTGTCCTGTAAACTCAACCTCAGATGAACTACAGGAATCACATTGCTCTGAACCTGGCGACAGCACACCCTCACTACGACGATGAGGGAAACACCTATAACATGGGAACTGCCCTCATGAGGTTTGGCATGCCAAAGTATGTCATCTTCAAGGTTCCAGTCAATGCATCAGGTATCGGAAAATTGTCATTTTGGGGGTTCCTGGCTACATACATGTTAGGGAAAAAACCTTCATGAATGATTACACATTTATGTGTTCACAGGACAATGTTCTTTCCCTCTCCAGATAAGGAGCATAAGAAGCCTGCCCTGCAGAAGGTGAAACAGGTCTGCAATATACCGTTTCGCTCCACCCTCTTCCCCAGCTACTTCCACAGCTTCGGCATGACAGAGAACTACATCATCTTTGTCGAGCAGCCATTCAAACTGGACATCCTCAGACTGGCCACAGCTGTCTTTAGAAGCGTAAACTGGGCCAGCTGCCTCAAATACGACAAAGGGGACATTGTAAGCTACTCTTGTCTGATCACAGCCTCATGGAAAGTTCCTTTTTATCTTCAACTCACTTTGGCAATCATGCTTCTTACATTCTCTCTGGTGATCCCCTGGGCCGTCCTTTAGACGCTGATCCACCTGGTCGACAAGAAGACTGGGAAGGCTGTGTCCACCAAGTTCTACACAGATGCCCTGGTGGTTTTCCACCACATCAACGCCTACGAGGACGACGAACATGTAGTGTTTGACATGATCACCTACAAAGACAGCAATCTGTATGAAATATTCTACTTAGCGAACCTGAGAAAGGAAACCCATGAATTCATTGAGAGCAACATGGTCAACTTCTCCCCACCAATCTGCCAGAGATTTGTCTTGCCTCTCACTCTTGACAAGGTATATACAGATAGATGAGATCCCAGCTCTATCCTGTAAATGCATTCATATGCTGGTAGTAAACTCTGTTATGCTTTACATGAAGCAGCTCCGTATGAACAGTTAAAACATTCCAAGCACCTTAAAGAGGGAGCCATTGAGCATAATAGGCATTATAAACTTGGTGGGTCGAGCCCTGAATGCTGATTGGCTGACAGCCGTAGTATATCAGACAGTATACCACACCTCCTTGGCCTTATTGCTTAATTAAAGCATGAGAGGTTCTGATGAATATATCACATCTAGAACTGATCAGGGGCTGTGATATTTTGCTTAATTAGACATTTTCATGATAAACTAGCTATGAATTCATATTATATTTTCAAGGCAATATAACAGTTCATGAAAAGCTTCATGCGAAGCCAGTTCAAATTAAATTTTACCATTACATGTTTATACAACAAATAAAGACTGGATACATGTATGTTATAGGATACTCCAAAGGGAACCAATCTGGTGAGGCTCAAAGACACAACAGCCAAAGCAGTGATGCAGAAAGATGGCTCGCTGTATTGCCTGCCTGACACAATATTTGAAGGTGAGACTTTGTTGTCAACTGAACATTACAGTGATCGGTATGAATTACAGTGGGGAAAAAAAGTATTTAGTCAGCCACCAATTGTGCAAGTTCTCCCACTTAAAAAGATGAGAGAGGCCTGTAATTTTCATCATAGGTACACGTCAACTATGACAGACAAATTGAGGGAAAAAAATCCAGAAAATCACATTGTTGGATTTTTTATGCATTTATTTGCAAATTATGGTGGAAAATAAGTATTTGGTCACCTACAAACAAGCAAGATTTCTGGCTCTCACAGACCTGTAACTTCTTCTTTAAGAGGCTCCTCTGTCCTCCACTCGTTACCTGTATTAATGGCACCTGTTTGAACTTGTTATCAGTATAAAAGACACCTGTCCACAACCTCAAACAGTCACACTCCAAACTCCACTATGGCCAAGACCAAAGAGCTGTCAAAGGACACCAGAAACAAAATTGTAGACCTGCACCAGGCTGGGAAGACTGAATCTGCAATAGGTAAGCAGCTTGGTTTGAAGAAATCAACTGTGGGAGCAATTATTAGGAAATGGAAGACATACAAGACCACTGATAATCTCCCTCGATCTGGGGCTCCACGCAAGATCTCACCCCGTGGGGTCAAAATGATCACAAGAACGGTGAGCAAAAATCCCAGAACCACACGGGGGGACCTAGTGAATGACCTGCAGAGAGCTGGGACCAAAGTAACAAAGCCTACCACCAGTAACACACTACGCCGCCAGGGACTCAAATGCTGCAGTGCCAGACGTGTCCCCCTGCTTAAGCCAGTACATGTCCAGGCCCAGGCCCATCTGAAGTTTGCTAGAGTGCATTTGGATGATCCAGAAGAGGATTGGGAGAATGTCATATGGTCAGATGAAACCAAAATATAACTTTTTGGTAAAAACTCAACTCGTCGTGTTTGGAGGACAAAGAATGCTGAGTTGCATCCAAAGAACACCATACCTACTGTGAAGCATGGGGGTGGAAACATCATGCTTTGGGGCTGTTTTTCTGCAAAGGGACCAGGACGACTGATCCGTGTAAAGGAAAGAATGAATGGGGCCATGTATCGTGAGATTTTGAGTGAAAACCGGGCAACGAAGGAGTGGCTTCGTAAGAAGCATTTCAAGGTCCTGGAGTGGCCTAGCCAGTCTCCAGATCTCAACCCCATAGAAAATCTTTGGAGGGAGTTGAAAGTCCGTGTTACCCAGCGTCAGCCCCAAAACATCACTGCTCTAGAGGAGATCTGCATGGAGGAATGGGCCAAAATACCAGCAACAGTGTGTGAAAACCTTGTGAAGACTTACAGAAAACGTTTTTACCTGTGTCATTGCCAACAAAGGGTATATAACAAAGTGTTGAGAAACTTTTGTTATTGACCAAATACTTATTTTCCACCATAATTTGCAAATAAATTCATTAAAAATCCTACAATGTGGCTCCTGTAAGTCGCTCTGGATAAGAGCGTCTGCTAAATGACTAAAATGTAATGTAAATGTATTTTCTGGATTTTTCTTCTCATTTTGTCTGTCATAGTTGACATGTACCTATGATGAAAATTACAGGCCTCTCTCATCTTTTTAAGTGGGAGAACTTGCACAATTGGTGGCTGACTAAATACTTTTTTCCCCCACTGTATATACCACTACATCAAGAGGTCAAATGCTACATTAGTAAAAGTGGAGTCAAACAGTTGTTAGTTTTAATGACATATTGAGGGTCATAAATAGGCCCCGTGTAGCTCAGTTGGTAGTGCACGCCAGGGTTGTGGGTTCGATTCCCACAGGGGGCCAGTTTGAAAATGTATGCACTCAGTAACTGTAAGTCGCTCTGGATAAGAGCGTCTGCTAAATGACTAAAATGTAAATAAATTGCTGCATTTTTTTATGGAACATACCCACAAATTATTTTATTTTCTAAATACATTTTACTATAGAATTTTACTTATCTCCATTTGTACACAAACAGGTTTGGAGTTGCCAGGGATTAACTACAAATTCAATGGCAAGAAGTACCGTTATTTCTACGGCTCAAGAGTGGAGTGGACTCCACACCCAAATAAGGTAAAGTCTCTTACCAATGTATTCTCCTTAACATAGAGAAGTGAGTCCTCCTCATTTCTCACTGACGACATGCTGCTGTTTGTGTTATTAATACTTACACAGATTGGGAAGGTGGACATCGTGACCAGAAAGCACATTGAGTGGATAGAGGAGGACTGCTACCCCTCTGAGCCTGTGTTTGTTGCCTCACCAGGAGCTGTGGAGGAGGATGATGGTGAGAGGCAGTAGGCCTACTTCAGCACTACAAAAGCATTTAATCAGCACTGATATCTACACTCCCAGTCAAAAGTTTTAGAACACCTACTCATTCAATGGTTTATCTTTATTTTTACTATTTTCTACATTGTAGAATAATAGTGAAGACATCAAAACTATGAAATAACACATATGGAATCATGTAGTAACCAAAAAAGTGTTAAAACAAATCAAAATATATTTTATATTTGAGATTCTTCAAATAGCCACCCTTTGCTTTGATGACAGCTTTGCACACTGTTGGCATTCTCTCAACCAGCTTCACCTGGAATGCTTTTCCAACAGTCTTGAAGGAGTTCCCACATATGCTGAGCACTTGTTGGCTGCTTTTCCTTCACTCTGCGGTCCAACTCATCCCAAACCATCTCAATTTGGTTGAGGTCGGGGGATTGTGGAGACCAGGTCATCTGATGCAGCACTCCATCACTCTCCTTCTTGGTAAAATAGCCCTTACACAGCCTGGAGGTGTGTTGGGTCATTGTCCTGTTGAAAAACAAATGATAGTCCCACTAAGCCCAAACCAGATGGGATGGCGTATCGCTGCAGAATGTTGTGGTAGTCATGCTGGTTAAGTGTGCCTTAAATTCTAAATAAATCACAGACAGTGTCACCAGCAAAGCACCCCCACACCATAACACCTCCTCCTCCATGCTTTACGGTGGGAAATACACATGCGGAGATCATCCGTTCACCCACACCGTGTCTCACAAAGACACAGTGGCTGGAACCAAAAATCTCCAATTTGGACTCCAGACCAAAGGACACATTTCCACCGGTCTAATGTCCATTGCTCGTGTTTCTTGGCCCAAGCAAGTCTCTTCTTCTTATTGGTATCCTTTAGTAGTGGTTTCTTTGCAAAAATTTGACCATGAAGGCCTGATTCACACAGTCTCCTCTGAACAGTTGATGTTGAGATGTGTCTGTTACTTGAACTCTGTGAAGCATTTATTTGGTCTGCAATTTCTGAGGCTTGTAACTTTAATAAACTTATCCTCTGCAGCAGAGGTAACTCTGGGTATTCCATTCCTGTGGAGGTCCTCATGAGAGCCAGTTTCATCATTGTGCTTGATGGTTTTTGCGACTGCACTTGAAGAAACTTTCAAAGTTCTTGACATTTTCCAGATTGACTGACCTTCATGTCTTAAAGTAATGATGGACTGTCGTTTCTCTTTGCTTGAGCTGTTCTTGCCATAATATGGACTTGGTCTTTTACCAAATAGGGCTATCTTCTGTATATTTACATTTACATTTACATCATATATCCCCCCTACCTTGTCACAACACAACTGATTGGCTCAAACGCATTAAGAAGGAAAGAAATTCCACAAATTAACTTTTAAGAAGGCACACCTGTTAACTGACATGCATTCCAGGTGACTACCTCATGAAGCTGGTTGAGAGAATGCCAATAGTGTGCAAAGCTGTCATCAAGGCAAAGGATGGCTATTATATAAAATATATTTTGATTTGTTTAACACTTTTTTGGTTACTACATGATTCCATGTGTTATTTAATAGTTTTGATGTCTTCACTATGATTCTCAAATCTAGAAAATAGTAAAAATAAAGAAAAACCCTTGAATGAGTAGGTGTTCTAAAACTTTTGACCGGTAGTGTATGTCATTATCAAACAGTGAATTTATATATTTTCTGTTTTCAGGAGTCATTTTGTCCTCAGTCGTCTCACTCAATCCAAAGAAATCCCCCTTCATGCTTGTCCTCAATGCCAAAACCTTTGAGGAAATTGCTCGTGCCTCAATCGACGCCAGCATTCACATGGATCTGCATGGACACTTCATTCCCATACAGAGCTCCAACTGACATAGCCAGCAGAGGGCAGGATTCTACTTTAACATTGTAGAGGGCAAAGTCTTACTCCCATCCATGTAGAGTCGTTGTCCGAGCCCCAGTGGAAATCGAATTAGCACAATTAGCATAATATCAAATCCCCATCAAAATCCTTCTGTTTAAGCTAGAGATATCTGTTTTGCGTGGGCTGCGTCTCAATCCACCGCATCCGCCTTCTGCATCTGCATCTGCAGTGGAAGGTGGCAGAGCTACAAGATCATGTCTAGATGGTATACAGATTTTGTCAAATTGACATCAAAAGTTGATTATTTTAGCATTTTAGCTAACACTAACCCCTTTCCTAACCTTAACCTAATTCTCCTAACCTGATACTTTAATTATCCTAACCTGCTGTGTACATTTTAAACCTGATACGAAAAGTAAATCTGTTTTTCTATGTATGAATCTGTTATTCAATATGTTTCTATGGGCTAATAGCAGTAAGGCCAAATTCAATGTTTCATCAGATATTGTATTTATTTAAAAACATGTATACCTACAGGGGTCCTAATATTCTAAATAAAATCAAATAGCTAAATGATCCTTGGTATGACCATCTTAAAATAATTCCATATAGCTTAGTATAAAACCAGCCCCGGGCCCTTCGATTACTAGGCTCCCTCTCCAATAGTATTTGCTCAAATGTATAATTTATGTTTACAGAACATCTACCCCAAAGTGTCTTTTAAATCCTATCTTTAGACAGAGAACCACGTAACCTCTATTTTTCTAATCAGGATGTATAAAATCTAGTTTTGTATGTAAAAAGGGTTTATAATAATGTATTATTAATAATAATGTATTAATTTATTAATTCAGTCTATCCTGGTCACCCTAGTGTAAATTATATTGTGTTTCTGTACAGGTAATTAAGGAAAACAATAGTGTGCTGCAAAGCTACACGACCCTCTAAAATCTGAATTTTACAGTTATGGCATTGTTATTATTGCTGTGGCATTGTTATCACCATTACTTCTCTCAAAAGTGAGAACTTACAGCACTTTCTGCACATATAATTTCCTCATTCAACAACATATTATTACCATGTGTCACTACAATGTACTTACATTAGGTTTGTAAAGATATTTTTGAATATACATTAGAATACTGTGTTTATGTCATACTTGTATTTAATTCACTCATAAAAAACATGTATACTTTGATTTAGTACATTCTATAGGAAGACTGAAACAAGACATTCATGCGCTAAAGTTAGAATTAAGTTTGACAATTTGCTGTGCATTAAATGCCAGTTATTGTTTGTTGTTGTTAATGTTATGTTTTGTTTTAATAGTGTGTTAGTCTGAGTTTTATTCTGAAATCATTCTGTGACTTTGCTGAAAACGGATCCTTTGATATCTGTGTAAATGTGCAATTGAACTATCTGTCTTTAAGTCTGACCAAGTCATCACCTTTTAATTAATAACTTCTAAAAGCAACATATTGTTTACAACTACAGTAATACAAATGGTTATTTCTTTATGTGATATATATAGTCCAACAACAACATGGCTTTGCCAGTAAAGTATATTTTTGCTTGCTAACAAATAAAAACATTCAAACCTTGTTGTTGCTTTATCCACAACTCTTGATGTTTGTAGAGGAACCAATGTTTCCTTGCAAGGAAAAAAATTACAAAAATGTACAAAGAATATTACTGAAAAACCAGAATTTTTTAAAGATAATTTGTTCAGTTGATATGATTGATATGCTTGTTAGTGTAGCTCCCCCTTTCCCCATGTGAAATGTGGTTTGACTTGGGGACTTCACATGCACTAATAAGAGACAGACACTAGTTATCCCTCAGTGCCAGGCATGCACAATGAACACGAAATTGGCATAGGCTAGCACAAAGTACCAATGGCTTACAAATAGAAGATATTAGGTGACCTGGTGCAATCTCTAGAATGGGATTAAACTAATCATGATATACAAGTATAAGATATTGGGTAACTCAATGCAAAGAAATGCCATCATGATTTCTTACCCTCAACTTTACCTCAGAGCATTTTCACAATATAGAGATACCATTATTTAGACATTTTTCCTCGAGCAGCAGGGATTTGCACTGTGTATAACATAATTTACTCATATTTATCTGTGAAAATTATTTGACTTTTCAGATGATCACTATAACATTTAAATGTTTTATATTGATATGTTTTACTATTTACATTTACTGTGCATGAGTAGCCATTTTGACAGCTTCACACAGCAAAAATGAAATCACCCAAGACAGACAAGTTATTTATTGTAACTGAGGAGTACTTGTGACTAATATCCTTACACTATTTCTTCCACAAAAAAACGTGTCACAACATGGCAATTACAGTAAGTAGAAATCTTACCTTAGTCTTATCCTTACCTTTCAGACAGCGGAATGAATGGAGAATAGAGGCTTTTAAATCTTACAGGCAGTGTCACAGAGTTCACTGAAATCAATTTCACAGGTCTGTCTAAACCAACTGTGTAATAAAAGTGTTTAATTACATAAATATGCAACCATAACTGTAATTCCCAGAATGTTTAAGAGACTTAATAAAGAGAGACCAAAGATTAGGCCTACTATCTGATACAGAGTTTATAGCCAAGTACAACACCTGACAGTTACATAAATGGTTAACATGGTGAGTTAACTTAAAGGGGCAATCTGCAATTGGTACGTCCATTTTTGGAATTTTAAAATAATTATATATTCCCATTGATCTCTGAGAATATGACTTACAAATTCCTCATACACCTAGTTTAACTGTCGTACCCCATCAGAACCCAAAATATAATCTTGTTTGTACATGTGCATCATGACAATATTTCATGAAAGATATACTTATGACACTGGTTGATTATCTCAGTTGATACTACAATCATGGTTTGTCGTTGTATTTAAATGGTCCACTATGCTGCAGAATATGAATATGTGGCTACCTCCATATGTTGAGGTGTATTGTGATTATTTGCTTCTGATAATGCATTTTATATTGCCCCTGAGAAGTAATAAATATTTATTATACAATAGTAGTATATTTTATTCAGTTCTATTGTATTCCCAACTAGACTTTGTTTAATTACATAACATTTATGCGTTAGCATAGAAACATGTAGGTTAAAGTTTCATAGCAAATCTGGTTCAGTAATTTAGTGTGCCATAGTTCTGAGATCAAAAAACAAAACAAATTTCTATGAAATGGAAATTATTCAAATATTATGTCTTGTGAAAACATTCCTGGTATATCTGTTTTACAAAACATATTGCTAACATTGCTGGCATAAATGTCACTAAGCCAAAGTATGACAGCATGATCACTCAACAAAACCATCAATCTAGCTTCTACAGTATAACAGCAGAGTTTAATTTAATTAATATAGGTCTAATCCAAGTGTGCATGAGGTCATTGCATTCAAATAAATACATTTGATACAAAACGTTTTGTAATGGCTTAATTTAAAGTAATAATTCACCCAAAATAAATCACCAAATGCAGCTAATTTTATGGATGGTGAGAAAGTGGTCTGTGAGTTGGCTTAACATTAGCCCACTTGCAAAACAAATTGGACATGCAATCGAAGAGTGGATGATCATTTTGGGTATGATAACAGGGGTCATACAACTTCCATCCTTTTGCAGTCAACAATACTAAGGCTATATATGCTTTAGTTGAGTATACAAACCTGAATCTTAGGTTGCAGAGTCCTTAAGCTCCATTCTGTCTCTTTACACTTCTATAACAAGTCTAGACTGAACTAGGGGTTGCACCAAATATTGATATGCTTTAGCTGAGTATACAAACCTTAATCTTAGGTTGCAGAGTCCATATTCTGTCTTGAAACACTTCTATGACAATTCTAGGAAGACTGAGCTTCTAATTGCACCAAATATTGATATGCTTATCTCCAGTTCTAGTTACCTTATCATCAGTGGTGTAAAGTACTTAAGTAAAAATACTTTAAAGTACTACTTAAGTAGTTTTTTGGGGTATCTGTACTTTACTTTACTATTTATATTTTTGACAACTTTTACTTTTACTTCACTACATCCCTAAAGAAAATATTGTACTTTTTACTCCATACATTTTCCCTGACAACCCAAAATATTCCTTACATTTTGAATGCTTAGCAGAACAGGAAAATTGTGAAATTCACGGACTTATCAAGAGAACACGTGTTCTGGCGGACTCACTAAACACAAATGTATCTTTTGTAAATAATGTCTGAGTGTTGGAGTGTGCCCCTGGCTAGCCGTACATTTTAAAAACAAGAACATGGTGCCGTCCGCTTTGCTTAATATAAGGAATTTGAAATGATTTATACTTTTACTTTTACTTTTGATACTTAAGTATATTTTATCAATTACATTTACTTTTGATACTGAAGTATATTTAAAATCAAATACGTTCAGACTTTTACTCCAGTAGTATTTTACTGGGTGACTTTCACTTTTACTTGAGTAACTTTCTACTAGGGTATCTATACTTTTACTCAAGTATGACAATTGGGTACTTTTTACACCCCTGCTTATCATAGAGTACAAAGCTGAGAGATTCGAAGCTGAACTATATATACAAAAATATGTGGACACCCCTTCAAATTAGTGGATTTGGCTATTTTAGCCACACCCGTTGCTGACAGGTGAATAAAATCGAGCACACAGCCATGCAATCTTCATAGACAAACATTGGCAGTAGAATGGACTTACTGAAGAGCTCAGTGACTTTCAACGTGGCACCGTCATAAAATGCCACCTTTCCAACAAGTCAGTTGGTCAAATTTCTGCCCTGCTAAAGCTGCCCCGGTCAACTGTAAGTGCTTTTATTGTGAAGTGGAAACGTCTAGATGCAACAATGGCCCAGCTGCAAAGTGGTAGGCCACACAAGATTACAGAACGGGGCCGCCAAGTTCTGAAGAGTTTAGAGCGTAAAAATATTCTGTCCTCGATTGCAACACTCACTACCGAGTTCCAAACTGAGATGCAGTGCCTTAGACCACTGCGCCACTCAGGAGCTGGTGACTCACTCCATATGTGAACTCCTAATGACCGATCAGGGGCATACAGTATACAGTCAGTTAGTATACAAGATAGGAGAGTGTTGATATGGCATAGCCCCGTATAGATCAGTTGGTAGAGCATGGCGCTTGCATCGCCAGGGTTGTGGGTTTGATTACCACGGGGGACCAGTAAGAAAATGTATGTACTCACTAATATAAATCGCTCTGGATAAGAGCGTCCGCTAAATTACTCAAATGTAAATGTGGCTTGCGCTACTACTTGGAATGGGAGTGGTTTCCCTTGTCCGATATATAAATGACATAGTTCTTTCAACTCTCACAACTTCTCAGGAACGTAACGCGTGATCATTTGTTTTTCATCTCAATAAGGATGGCCTACGACTACGCTAAAAACATAGAAGAAAGACCTGATCCAGTGAAGGCGGACCTCAAAGGTATGTAACCTGATGAGATGGTTATGGATACTTTCGATAATCTTCATTATCAACATAACATGGGTAGCAACATTCATAGGTATAACTAGGGCAGTAGGGGTGTGTGGGTAAAATCACTGGGGAAGCCAAGCCAGTAAAAAAATGCGGTATTACAACCTAGGGGTTGTGATAATTGCGTTGTTTTCTCTTATCCTGTTAGTTCATATGCCTTGCCACTGTGATATATAGGCAGAATAAATTCAATCACACCTTTGTTTAATCACAAAACCGGTGAAAACATCTGTCTGGTGGAGTCCACAAAACAAATTGCATGTAACAAACAGCTACATGACCAACAGCATGGTCAATGAAGTTAATGTTTCTAAGATTTTCGGACAACTAAACAACTATTGATTTAGAACCACTGAGAGTTACCGCAAGTCCCAAAGAAACAGGAGCAGCCTCCACTATTCCAGCACCATTTCAACATCAACATGTCAACATCATCAAGTCACCTATGCTTAGTCTAATACAGTGACAACTAAAATATTCCAAAAACAATTTAGGCCAATCAATGTAAGCTAAATATCATGTGGCTATCTATGGTATGATTTCTGTGTGTGTGTGTGTGTGTGTGTGTGTGTGTGTGTGTGTGTGTGTGTGTGTGCGTGTGCGTGTGCGTGCGTGCGTGCGTTAGTAGAAAAAACATGTTGACTCACCCTACTTGTAGAGAAACGCCAATGCCATCCTCCTCTATTTCATGTTGCCGAAATGTTTAACACTGTCATACAGTACAAGCCTTTAGTTTTTGTTGTCCTATGCTACCTGGCTAAAATGCTTGCTCGCAAGCATTTCATGGGCAACGATTAGCCAGCTAGTTAACATTAGCCTGCTATATCTAGCTACATGTTGAACTTCCATCCTCTCAGGCCAGAGGCACAATGTATGATTTTTTTGGGTGCCAGGACCATTCACAGTTGAGCTCACTCAGTTTAGCTCAATGCTGATTGGCTATTATTGTATAATTTTTTTATCAAGGGAGGCCAAATGCTTGCTGGCTTCCCTTGCATTCAATGCTGCTGGCGGCAACAGCATGATACTCTTTTTGACCAGACAGCACCAGATAGATGGGCTACACATAGAGAGTCAGAGGGGCGCTGTTTCTCTCGCTCTGATTCTTTCTCCGGTGAGATACTGTACATTCAGCCTCTTGCTAATTGAAGGACAATTATGAAACATAGAGAGACGAAAGATAAATTATTTAGTTTTTATAGTAAATATTTTTTGGGAAGCCTGGCTTCCCTTGGCAGCCATGAATACCTGCCACTGAACTAGGGGGGAGATGGTTGTTCATTTTTTTAAATGTTAAAAGCAAAGCAACAGTTTTCCCTTTTTGTTGTTGAGGAGGCAATTGGAGTTTTAATGTCTATGCCGACATCCCACTTGCCACAAGCTGACGATTAATAGCTTTATGGCGCGAACCGCATAGTTATAGGCTATTTATTATAGGCTATTCATGATTTAAATAACAGGCGTGTGAAATGGCTAATGGATGTGGTTGTTTAGCAAAACATTGAACCCACCTTTCAAAATTGTCTCTCATAGCCAATTAACAATATTCTGAAGGCCTACTCCTGGAACAAATAACATTTAGTCTCTTATTAGTTATCCACCAGTACTAGGCTACTACAGTTATAGTAGCCAGAGTGACCGCTGTAAAGCAGGCAAGAATAACTAAGGAAGCCAAGCCAGTAAAAAAAATGCTGTATTACAACCTAGGGGTTGTGATAATTGCATTGTTTTCTCTTATCCTGTTAGTTCATATGCCTTGCCACTGTGATATATAGGCAGAATAAATTCAAGAGTGCCTCCTACTGGCCCTCCAACACCACTTCCAGCAGCATCTGGTCTCCCATCCAGGGACTGACCAGGACCAACGCTGCTTAGCTTCAGTGGCAAGCCAGCATTGGGATACAGGGTGGTATGCTGCTGGCTGAAAGGGGGGTCCATTCTACTCAAATCCAGAGTTCACACACAGGAGCGTCGCTGCTCATTTGGCGGCCCTTATAGAGTGCTCCATCAACTTAAATCCAATAGTTTTTTCACATTGGACATACATATTGCACTGTACAAATGGAAAAGCAAGCCTCACAAAGGCCGCCAAATGAACAGCGACGCTTCTCTGGGTGTAAACTATTGGATTTAATTCCCAAAATCCGTGTCCCGGAAGTACATTTTACATTTACATTTTAGTCATTTAGGAGATGCTCTTATCCAGAGCAACTTACAGTTAGTGAGTGCATACATTTTTTTCAAGTATCTTCTTGTTATTGGTGTTTCTTTGCAGCAATTCAATCATGAAAGCCTGATTCACGCAGTCTCCTCTGAACAGTTGATGTTGAGATGTGTCTGTTACTTGAACTCTGTGAAGCATTTATTTGGGCTGTAGTTTCTGAGGTTGGTAACTCTAATGAACTTATCCTCTGCAGCAGAGGTAACTCTGGGTCTTCCTTTCCTGTGGCGGTCCTCATGAGAGCCAGTTTCATCATATACCTTGATGGTTTTTGCGACTGCACTTGAAGAAACTTTCAAAGTTCTTGAAATGTTCCGTATTGACTGACCTTCATGTCTTAAAGTAATGATGGACTGTTGTTTCTCTTTGCTTATTTGAGCTGTTCTTGCCATAATATGGACTTGGTCTTTTACCAAATAGGGTTATCTTCTGTATACCACCCCTACCTTGTCACAACACAACTGATTGGCTCAAACACATTAAGAAGGAAAGAAATTCCACAAATTAACTTTGTACAAGACATACCAGTTAACTGAAATGCAGTCCAGGTGACTACCTCATGAAGCTGGTTGAGAGAATGCCAAGAGTGTGCAAAGCTGTCATCAAGGCAAAGGGTGGCTGCTTTGAAGAATCTCAAATATAAATATATTTTGATTTGTTTAACACTTTTTTTTGGTTACTACATGATTCCATATGTGTTATTTCATAGTTTTGATGTCTTCACTATTATTCTACAATGTAGAAATAGTACAAATAAAGAAAAACTCTTGCATGAGTAGGTGTGTCCAAACTTTTGACTGGTACTGTATATAAAGTGTAATATTGGGATGCAAACAAATTTTTTTATACATTTCAACTCTATATCTGGCATGGTACAGGTGTCTTTTTTTTTTTGAAAGCCCATAACCATGTGTGTGAGGTGTATACTTTTGTTTCAAATTAGATTTGTTTAAGCCTACCAAGAAACACACTGTGTGACCCTGATTTAGCCCACTGCAGCAAAAGGCTTTAAGTGACTCTCCTTGGTTGTACACTCTGTGGATTTCGAAACTAGTGGTGCTCCTGAGTAGAAGGGCCCCCCTTTTACTACCACACAATGTACAGGAAATTGTGCAGTAAGTACAGTATGTCCAATATGAATAATGTACTGAACATCATGCAATACGAATGACTAATTAACTATGAGATTTAAAAGTGTTTTCTAAAGTTTATTATTATACAATTATTAATATTATTAATAGTATCATTATAAATAATGTTTTGTTATTTGTATTACTGTTGTTACCATGATAACTATCTAGTAATCATTACTTTTAATGCTGTTAACAATTATGGCAATGCTATAATATTGTTTGTGCTATAAAGGTGATTCACTTTATTCATTTTTTCATATTGTTAAACAAAATTGTAAGTCTGCGAACATTTCCCCATAAAATGTTACGAATTTCGACCATTTGTATTATTTTTCACCATCTTCATTGCGGGACTTTTATTTTGAAGGAAAATCACGGCCATTCTTGCTATACTTACTTATTCTTGCTGGGTGAATGGAAACACTGACGTAGGTCCCCCCATTCCTTTTCTTAAAACACTTGTTTTATGCAGGCAACCTTCCAAACTGGCTGCAAGGCACGTTGTTGCGCAATGGGCCAGGCATATTCTCAGTGGGGGAGACCACATACAACCACTGGTTCGATGGGATGGCCCTGATGCACAGCTTTACATTCAAAGATGGTAAGATGAGTGGAAGTGTTTCGATTTGTTGTGATATAGAAACTCAAACAAGATGATCTTATGATAAGTCCAATTGGCAAACTTTTGGGCTTTTTGGTGCTATGGGCTCCATGGGTCGTGCAAGTAAAAACAAATCCCACATTTTGCAATTAAATTCACAATAGAAGTAAATCATCAGGTGTATATATATTTTTTATTTCAGGTGAGGTCATCTACAGAAGCAGATATTTACGTGGAGACACATACAAAGACAACATGGCAGCCCAAAGAATTGTTGTGTCTGAAATGGGGACAATGGCCCACCCGGGTCCAGGCAAAAACGTCTTATCTAGGTAGCACATTACAGATGGTTAATTTTGGCACATTAAAAAGGCAAGATGTTGAAATCAATGATCTACCAATTATGTTCTGGCAATTATCAATTCTGTTCTGGCATGCTGTAGCAAAAGATCAGGCATTATAGTGCATCTGATCTGACTGTTGATTATTTAATTTCCTTTGTCCCTATGAACATGCCTGTTGCTGATCAGATTATCTCCATCTCCAGGGTGATCACCTTTCTAAACCACACGGTCCCAGACTTCACTGACAACTGTGGCAACAATATCATTCGATATGGGAAGGATTATTATGCAACCTCTGAAACCAACTACATCCGCAAAGTAGATCCTGTGACTCTTGAGACTCAGGACAAGGTAACTTAAAGTTATCACTGGCGTTACTATCTGGATGACCATACTTTTGTATTTATTTGTATTTGTATTCATTATGGATCCCCCATTAGCTGCTGCCACAGCTACCCTTCCTGGGGTCCAGCAAAATTAAGGCAGTTATACATTTTAAAAACATTACAATACATTCATAACAGATTTCACAACATATTAAGTGTGTGCCCTCAGGCCTCTACTCTACTACCACATATCTATAACACAAAATCCATGTGTACTTGTGTGTATAGTGTGTATGTTATCGTGTGTTTGTATGCATGTGTCTATGTTTGTATTGCTTCACAGTCCCCGCTGTTCCATAAGGTGTATTTTTATCTGTTTTTTTTTAAATAAAATGTTAATGCTGGCATGACTACCTTGATGTGGAATAGAGTTCCATGTAGTCATGGCTCTATGTAGTACTGTGCGCCTCCCATAGTCTGTTCTTGACTTGGGGACTGTGAAGAGACCTCTGTTGGCATGTCTTGTGGGTATGCATGGGTGTCCGAGCTGTGTGCCAGTAGTTCAAACAGACAGCTTGGTGTATTCAACATGTCATTACCTCTCACAGCTCGGACACCCATGCATACCCCACAAGACATGCCAACAGAGGTCTCTTCACAGTCCCTCCTCCACTTTGAGCCAGGAGAGATTGACATGCATATTATTAAAGTTAGCTCTCTGTGTACATCCAAGGGCCAGCCGTGCTGCCCTGTTCTGAGCCAATTGCAATTTTCCTAAGTCCCTCTTTGTGGCACCTGACCACACGACTGAACAGTAGTCCAGGTGCGACAAAACTAGGGCCTGTAGGACCTGCCTTGTTGATAGTGCTGTTAAGAATGCAGAGCAGCGCTTTATTATAGACAGACTTCTCCCCATCCTAGCTACTGTTGTGTCAATATGTTTTGACCATGACAGTTTACAATCCAGGGTTACTCCAAGCAATTTAGTCACCTCAACTTGCTCAATTTCCACAGAATTCATTACAAGATTTAGTTGAGGTTTAGAGTTTAGTAAATGATTTGTCCCAAATACGATGCTTTTAGTTTTTGAAATATTTAGGACTAACTTATTCCTTGCCACCCATTCTGAAACGAACTGCAGCTCATTGTTAAGTGTTGCTGTCATTTCAGTCGCTGTGGTAGCTGACGTGTATAGTGTTGAGTCATCCGTATACATAGACACACTGGCTTTACTCAAAGCCAGTGGCATGTCGTTAGTAAATATTGAAAAAAGTAAGGGGCCTAGACAGCTGCCCTGGGGAATTCCTGATTCTACCTGGATTTTGTTGGATAGGCTTCCATTAAAGAACACCCTCTGTGTTCTGTTAGACAGGTAACTCTTTATCCACAATATAGCAGGGGGTGTAAAGCCATAACACATACGTTTTTCCAGCAACAGACTATGATCGATAATGTCAAAAGCCGCACTGAAGTCTAACAAAACAGCCCCTAAAATATTTTTATCATCAGTTTCTCTCAGCCAATCATCAGTCATTTGTGTAAGTGCTGTGCTTGTTGAATGTCCTTCCCTATAAGCGTGCTGAAAGTCTGTTGTCAATTTGTTTACTGTAAAATAGCATTTTATCTGGTCAAACACCATTTTTTCCAAAAGTTTACTAAGGGTTGGTAACAGGCTGATTGGTCAGCTATTTGAGCCAGTTAAGGGGGCTTTACTATTCTTAGGTAGGGGAATAACTTTTGCTTGCCTCCAGCCCTGAAGGCACACACTTTCTAGTAGGCTTAAATTGAAGATATGGCAAATAGGAGTGGCAATATCGTCTGCTATTATCCTCAGTAATTTTCCATCCAAGTTGTCAAACCCCAGTGGCTTGTCATTGTTGATTGACAATAATACTTTTTTCACCTCTTCCACACTTATGTTTTACGGAATTCAAAATTACAATGCTTGTCTTTCATAATTTGGTCAGATATACTTGGATGTGTAGTGTCAGCGTTTGTTGCTGGCCATGTCATGCCTAAGTGTGCTAATCTTGCCAATATCAGTGGGTTTTGTGATAAATGAGCCATCTGATTCAATGAATGATGGAGTGGAGTTTGCCTTTTTGCCCCAAAATTTCATTTAAGGTGCTCCAAAGCTTTTTACTGTCATTCTTTATATAATTTATCTTTGTTTCATAGTGTAGTTTCCTCTTCTTTTATTCAGTTTAGTCACATGATTTCTCAATTTGCAGTGCGTTTGCCAATCGGTTGTACAGCCAGACCTATTTGCCATCTCTTTTGCCTCATCCATCTCAACCATACCATTTTTCAATTCCTCATCAATCCATGGGGATTTATCAGTTTTTACAGTCATTTTCATAATGGGTGCATGCTTATTAGTAACTGGGATAAGCAATTTCATAAATGTGTCAAGTGCAGCGTCTGGTTGCTCGTCATTACACACCACAGACCAACAAATATTCTTCACACCAACAACATAGGAATCACTACAAAACTTATTGTATGACCTCTTATACACAATATTAGGCCCAGCCTTTGGAACTTTGGTTTTCCTAGATATGGCTACTATATTGTGATCACTACATCCGATGGATTTGGATACTGCTTTCAAACAAATTTCTGCAGCATTAGTAAAGATATGATCAATACATGTTGATGATTTCATTCCTGTACTGTTTGTAACTACTGTCACGATCCGGCTCGTAGCCCATAACAAATAGGGAGACAACGTGGAGATAAGGAATAACAAAATATATTTATTAACTAAAGCAAACTATATACAATTAACAATGGTGTGTGTAATCAGTAGTGTAAGTGAGTGGATGTGTGCATAGAGGTGATAATGAGGAGTGTTGAAAGGTGCCATAGCAAACAAACAATACAGCCACAACCAAAATCCAACAGTGTGTCTGCATGGAGAGTCTCCACAATGAATGGGGGAAAGGTGTATTTATCCCTGGGACACACCCAAGCCCAGGTGTGTTCCCATTTCTCTGACGACCCTCCCGGCTCCGCCCACCGACATCCTATTAAGGAAAACAAGAACAAAGAGAGACTTCGGCTGACAGAGTGGGAGGGTCGTCACACTACCCTGGTAGGTTGATTGATAACCTGAACCAGGTTGCAGGCACTAGTTACAGTTTGAAGCTTTCTCTTGAGTGGGCAGCCTGATGAAAGCCAGTCAATATTTAAATCACCCAGAAAGTATACCTCTCTACTGATATCACATATATAATCAAGCATTTCACACATGTTATCCAGGGTGAGCTGCACACAGTGGACTTCCTACTAGGGCACACCATCTCAGTGCTAACAGTATTACTCTGGTTTATAGGCATATGATTACTGCAGCAGAGGCATTCCGGGCAATAAGAGGGACAGAAATTAGGTTATTTACATTGTGTTTTCCAACGCCCCTCGGATAATGTACATTTGCTGAATCATTATGACAACTCAGCGACACAATGGTAGGGATTAAATTAGCTGGACTTGAGTCATTGATAAGTCATTGTCTCAACGCAGCCTTATTGTCACGACTTACATTACATTTACGTCATTTAGCAGAAGCTCTTATCCAGAACGACTTACAAATTGGTGCATTCACCTTATGATAGCCAGTGGGACAATATTTTTTATTATTATAATTATTATAATAATTATTATTTTATATATTTTTGTGGGGGTGGGGTGGGTAGAAGGATTACTTTTATACTATCCCAGGTATTCCTTAAAGAGGTAGGGGTTTCAAGTGTCTCCGAAAGGTGGTCAGTGACTCCGCTGTCCTGGCGTCGTGAGGGAGCTTGTTCCACCATTGGGATGCCAGAGCAGCGAACAGTTTTGACTGGGCTGAGCGGGAACTGTGCTTCCGCAGAGGTAGGGGGACCAGCAGGCCAGAGGTGGAAGAACGCAATGTCCTCGTTTGGGTGTAGGGACTGATCAGAGCCTGAAGGTAAGGAGGTGCCGTTCCGCTCACAGCTCCATAGGCAAGCACCATGGTCTTGTAGCAGATGCGAGCTTCAACTGGAAGCCAGTGGAGTGTGCAGAGGAGCGGGGTGACGTGAGAGAACTTGGAAAGGTTGAACACCAGATGGGCTGCAGCGTTCTGGATGAGTTGTAGGGGTTTAATGGCACAGGCAGGGAGCCCAGCCAACAGCGAGTTGCAGTAATCCAGACGGGAGATGACAAGTGCCTGGATTAGGACCTGTGCCGCTTCCTGTGTAAGGTAGGGTCGTACTCTGCGAATGTTGTAGAGCATGAACCTACAGGATCGGGTCACCGCTTTGATGTTAGCAGAGAATGACAGGGTGTTGTCCAGGGTCACGCCAAGGTTCTTTGCACTCTGGGAGGAGGACACAATGGAGTTGTCAACCGTGATGGCGAGATCATGGAGCGGGCAGTCCTTCCCTGGGAGGAAGAGCAGCTCCGTCTTGCCGAGGTTCAGCTTGAGGTGGTGATCCAACATCCACACTGATATGTCTGCCAGACATGCAGAGATGAGATTCGCCACCTGGTTATCAGAAGGGGGAAAGGAGAAGATTAATTGTGTGTCGTCTGTGTAGCAATGATAGGAGAGACCATGTGAGGGTATGACAGAGCCAAATGACTTGGTGTATAGAGAGAATAGGAGAGGTCCTAGAACTGGGCCCTGGGGGACACCAGTGGTGAGAGAACGTGGTGCGGAGACAGATTCTCACCACGCCACCTGGTAGGAGCGACCTGTCAGGTAGGACGCAATCAAAGAGTGAGCCGCGCTGGAGATGCCCAACTCGGAGAGGGTGGAGAGGAGGATCTGATGGTTCACAGTATCAAAGGCAGCAGATAGGTCTAGAAGGATGAGAGCAGAGGAGAGAGAGTTAGCTTTAGCAGTGCGGAAAGCCTCCGTGACACAGAGAAGAGCAGTCTCAGTTGAATGACCAGTCTTGAAACCTGACTGGTTTGGATCAAGAAGGTAATTCTGTGAGAGATAGCAGGAGAGCTGGCTATAGATGGCACGCTCAAGAGTTTTGGAGAGAAAAGAAAGAAGGGATACTGGTCTGTAGTTGTTGACATCGGAGGGATCGAGTGTAGGTTTTTTGAGGAGGGGTGCAACTCTCGCTTTCTTGAAGATGGAAGGGACATAGCCAGCGGACAAGGATGAGTTGATGAGCGAGGTGTGGAGAAGAGAGGAGGGGATAGCGTCAAGCGAGCAGGTTGTGGGCGGCTGGCCGTCACAAGTCGCAAGATTTCATCTGGAGAGAGAGGGGAGAAAGAAGTCAAAACATAGGGTAGGGCAGTGTGAGCAGGACCAGCGGTGTCATTTGACTTAATAAATGAGGATCGGATGTCGTCAACCTTCTTTTCAAAATGGTTGACGAAGTCATCCACAGAGAGGGAGGAGGGAGGGGGAGGAGGAGGATTCAGCAGGGAGGAGGTGGCAAAGAGCTTCCTAGGGTTAGAGGCAGAGGCTTGAAATTTAGACTGGTAGAAAGTGGCTTTAGCAGCAGAAACGGAAGAAGAGAATGTAGAGAGGAGGGAGTGGAAAGATGACAGGTCCGCAGGGAGTCTAGTTTTCTTCCATTTCCGCTCAGCTGCCCGGAGCCCCGTCAAGCCACGGAGCAGGAGGGGAGGACCGAGCCGGCCGGGAGGATAGGGGACATAGAGAGTCAAAAGATTCAGAGAGGGAGGAGAGGAGGGTTGAGGAGGCAGAATCAGGAGATTGGAGGGAGAAGGATTTAGCAGAGGGAAGAGATGATAGGTTGGAAGAGGAGAGAGTAGTGGGAGAGAGAGAAAGAAGGTTGCGACGGCACATTACCATCTGAGTAGGGGCAGAGTGAGTAGTGTTGGAGGAGAGCGAGAGCGAAAAGGATACGAAGTAGCGGTCATAGACTTGGAGGGGAGTTGCAGTGAGATTAGTAGAAGAACAGCATCTAGTAAAGATGAGGTTAAGCGTATTGCCTGCCTTGTGAGTAGGGGGGGACGGTGTGAGGGCGAGGTCAAAAGTGGAAAGGAGTGGAAAGAAGGAGGCAGAGAGAAATGAGTCTAAGGCAGACGTAGGGAGGTTAAAGTCACACAGAACTGTGAGGGGTGAGCCATCCTCCGGAAAGGAACTTATCAAGGCGTCAAGCTCATTGATAAACTCTCCAAGGGAACCTGGAGGGCGATAAATGACAAGGATGTTAAGTTTGAATGGGCTAGTGACTGTGACAGCATGGAATTCAAATGAGGAGATAGACAGATGGGTCAGGGGGAAAAGAGAGAATGTCCACTTGGGAGAGATGAGGATTCCTGTGCCACCGCCGCGCTGACCAGATGCTCTCGGGGTATGCGAGAACACATGATCAGACGAGGAAAGAGCAGTAGGAGTAGCAGTGTTTTCTGTGGTAATCCATGTTTCCGTCAGCGCCAAGAAGTCGAGGGACTGGAGGGTGGCATAGGCTGAGATTAACTCTGCCTTGTTGGCCGCAGAACGGCAGTTCCAGAGGCTACCGGAGACCTGGATCTCCACGTGGGTCGTGTGCGCAGGGACCACCAGATTAGAGTGGCAGCAGCCACGCCGTGTGAAGCGTTTGTATGGCCTGTGCGGAGAGGAGAGAACAGGGATAGACAGACACAGAGTTGACAGGCTACAGAAAAGGCTACAATAATGCAAAGGAGATCGGAATGAAATTAACTAAGCATCTGGGAAAGCGAGAGAGCGGGGCCTCCCTCACGTTTCACTGAAACACTCAAATATAACTCTCCCAACTTCCACTTTAGATTAATAGACTTTAGTTAGTGTCTGGTCTGTTAGCGATGTTACCAAACAGACTAGTTCTGTCTCTTGCCTCTAGTTAGTGTCTGGTCTATTAGCGATGTTACCAAACAGACTAGTTCTGTCTCTTGCCTCTAGTTAGTGTCTGCCTCCCATCCTTGTTCGGGGCAGGCTTCGGCGTTCGTCGTCACCGGCTTACTAGCCACTGCCGCTCCATATATCATCATTCCATTTGTCTTGTCTTGTCAATTACACACACCTGGTTCTTATCCCCTCATTAGTCCGTGTATAAGTGTTCCCTCTGCCCCCTTGTCCTTGTGGGTGATTGTTTATTGTGAGAGTAGTGTAGCTCGGTGGAGCTACTCGTACCTTGTATTGCCGGGGTAGATTTTTCCCCTGTGCCTGTATATTGTTGGAGCTACCCGTACCTTGTATTGCCAGGGTAGATGGTTTCCCCTATGCCTGTTTTCTGTTGTCGCTATCCAGCGCAATTGTGTACGACGGAATAAACTCTGTATTCGGTGATATACCCTCCTGCGCCTGACTCCTTCTATCACACTCATCACACTTATAATGCTGTGAAAGGATCCAGGAACCCAAATGATTTGGGTGGATTCCATCCTCCTTATAATACAGCTTTGTTTCCAGAAGGTATCAAAATTGTCAATAAATGTTACACCCACAGAGCTGCAATAGTCTCGTAGCCAGTTATGGAGGGCTAAAGGTCTGCTGAACCGTTCAATGCCACGCATGAATACGCCTGTTTATTAACCTATCTTGTTATCTCACTAGGTGGACTACATGAAATACCTTGCTGTAAACCTGGTGACATCCCATCCACATTACGATAACGACGGAAACACCTACAACATGGGGACTTCAATAGTGGAGAAGGGAAAGACCAAATACACCTTATTCAAGGTTCCAGCCACGACTGCGGGAGGTAAATATTCAAAAATATCACAGTCTGTCTTTTTATGTTAGAGTTAGTTAATTACTAGTTACAGGGGTATCACCAGTCCCTGTGAGGTTGTTTCTCCCTAGGACTTGATCACTGTCCACACCTCTGGGTTGTCAGGTCTAAAACAGACACTAATTAAAAGGAAAGAGAGAAAGCCAGCAAAGACTTCAGCCCCCCAGGAGTTAAACTTTAGACCACTGACCTTGTTACCTCTGACCTTGTAACCTCTGACCTTCATTGGTATCTGATGAAGATGCATGGTCTCATATAGCAGTGGTCAAGACCTTTTATATTGGGGAAGTCATGTTTTAACACATTTGAGCAATAACCTTGTCTTTTACAATAATCTCAAACATTTAGCAGAACCATTTACCCATCACCTTTCTGGGTGTTGTCTTACTACTGTACACCATGGATAGAGAAGTATCCAGAGCCTGAAGCAGATAGTTTTCACAAAACATTACAAAGAGCTGTAAATGGTTGTAAATTCTCAGTTGATATGTTTAATCAGATAAGGCCAAGGCTTCTCCAGCCTTGAAGAACCTTGAGGTGATATGCACAGTGCCGTGCCGCTCCCTCCTCAGCCCCAGCTACTACCACAGCTTCGGCATGACTGACAACTACTTCATCTTCATTGAGCAGCCATTCAAACTGGACATCCTCAAGATGGCCACAGCATACATGAGAGGGGTCAACTGGGCTAGTTGTCTGAAGTTTTGTCCTGAGGAAAATGTAAGGGTTATAAGACTCATTTTCTTTGGCATTGAATTTAATATGATTCCAATGTAAGTGCAAGTACATTGTTGTTTTTTCCATTTCATGGAAATTACATCCCTTTGTGTTTTCAACTTTGACAGACCCTGATTCACCTGATCGACAGAAAGACAGGCAAAGAAGTGGGCATGAAGTACTACACAGACGCAATGATAGTGTACCATCACGTGAATGCCTTTGAAGAGGATGGTCATGTCATCTTTGATGTCATCGCCTATGAAGATCCCAGCTTGTACAACATGTTCTACCTAAACGTGTTAAAAGAACAATCAAAGACCTCAGCAATGTCTGTGCCAAAATGCAAAAGATTTGCCCTTCCTGTACAGACTGACAAGGTAATAGTTTGCAACTGATGACCATCTTAACCTTTAAACATTGCCCTCAACTAATGAGTAGTCAACTGTTTCTATAATGTTGTCATGTTGTGAACTGTTTCTGAAGGGGATTGATGTTGGAGATGATATGGTGAAACTCAAATACACAACAGCCAGCGCTGTGAAAGAGAAAGAGGGGAGACTACTCTGCCATCCAGAGGTGCTTTGTGACGGTAAGACCAAAACTTGTATCGCTCAATGTTCTGTTCAATTATTGTGCTATATAGACACTCACAATACATATCAGCCCAACATTTTCTTTCACAATACACTCGTGTTGATTTTGTTGTTCAATCCCAAAATCTATCTACAGGTGTGGAACTTCCCAGGATCAATTATGACTTCAACGGCAAGAAGTACAGATTTGTCTATATGACTTGTGTTGCAATGTCAGCAGTGGCAACTAAGGTAAAAGTCCCTGTGATTTAATTTAGGCCTTTGTGAATGTAACTGCATGTGTTGCTTATCTAATATTTTGTTAACTATACCTAACTGTTATAAATAGATCATGAAGTTGGACACTAAGACAAAGGAGAGGACTGAATGGAGAGAGGAGAACTGCTGTCCATCAGAGCCTGTGTTCATTCCAAGACCCAACGGAGAAGGAGAGGATGATGGTGAGATTGCTTTACATGGTCCTCAAATCTTAAAAATATGAAAGCTTATGTTTTGATTAGAATGGCCAGACATTTACAATGTATGCTGAATAAAGTTATGATTTCAATGAAAGTCTGTCCATCATATTGCACCTACAGTCGTGGTCAAAAGTTTTGAGAATGACACAAGTATTGGTCTTCACAAAGTTCGCTGCTTTAGTGTTATGAGATATTTTTGTCAGATGTTACTATGGTATACTGAAGTATAATTACAAGCATTCCATAAGGGTCAAAGGCTTTTATTGACAATTACATTAAGTTTATGCAAAGAGTCAATATTTGCAGTGTTGACCCTTCTTTTTCAAGACCTCTGCAATCCGCCCTGGCATGCTGTCAATTAACTTCTGGGCCACATCCTGACTGATGGCAGCCCATTCTTGCATAATCAATGCTTGGAGTTTGTCAGAATTTGTGGGTTTATGTTTGTCCACCCGCCTCTTGAGGATCGACCACAAGTTTTCAATGGGATTAAGGTCTGGGGAGTTTCCTGGCCATGGACCCAAAATGTTGATGTTTTGTTCCCCGAGCCACTTAGTTATCACTTTTGCCTTATGGCAAGGTGCTCCATCATGCTGGAAAAGGCATTGGTCGTCACCAAACTGTTCTTGGATGGTTGGGAGAAGTTGCTCTCGGAGGATGTGTTGGTACCATTCTTTATTCATGGCTGTGTTCTTAGGCAAAATTGTGAGTGAGCCCACTCCCTTGGCTGAGAAGCAACCCCACACATGAATGGTCTCAGGATGCTTTACTGTTGGCATGACACAGGACTGATGGTAGCGCTCACCTTGTCTTCCCCGGACAAGGTGTTTTCCGGATGCCCCAAACAATCGGAAAGGGGATTCATCAGAGAAAATGACTTTACCCTAGTCCTCAGCAGTCCAATCCCTGTACCTTTTGCAGAATATCAGTCTGTCCCTGATGCTGCCCTTCTTGACACCAGGCCATCCTCCAAAAGTCTTCACCTCACTGTGCGTGCAGATGCACTCACACCTGCCTGCTGCCATTCCTGAGCAAGCTCTCCACTGGTGGTGCCCCGATCCCGCAGCTGAATCAACTTTAGGAGATGGTCCTGGCGCTTGCTGGACTTTCTTGGGTGCCCTGACGCCTTCTTCACAACAATTGAAGCTCTCTCTTTGAAGTTCTTGATGATCCGATAAATGGTCGATTTAAGTGCAATTTTACTAGCAGCAATATCCTTGCCTGTGAAGCCCTTTTTGTGCAAAGCAATGATGACGGCACGTGTTTCCTTGCAGGTAACCATGGTTAACAGAGGACGAACAATGATTTCAAGCACCACCCTCCTTTTAAAGCTTCCAGTCTGTTCTTCTAACTCAATCAGCATGACAGAGTGATCTCCAGCCTTGTCCTCGTCAACACTCTCACCTGTGTTAACGAGAGAATCACTGACATGATGGCAGCTGGTCCTTTTGTGGCAGGGCTGAAATGCAGTGGAAATGTTTTTTTGGGGGATTAAGTTCATTTTCATGGCAAAGAGGGACTTTGCAATTAATTGCAATTCATCTGATCACTCTTCATGACATTCTGGAGTATATGCAAATTGCCATCATCAGAACTGAGGCAGCAGACTTTGTGAAAATTAGTATTTGTGTCATTCTCAAAACTTTTGACCACGACTGTACAATATTCTAACAAAATACCTCCTATGTTCAGGTGTGGTCTTGACAACAGTCATCAACTCCAATCCAGGGGAATCTGGCTTCATCTTGGTGCTGGATGCAAAGTCTTTCAAGGAGGTAGCTCGAGCATATGTGAATGCAGGGCTTCACATGGACATGCATGGATACTTCATCCCAAAAGAAAATTAGTCTGACAAAGCAATTATTTACTCAGAGAGTAGCCTACTACCTTCCACAAAGAAACAGAAACTATGGAAAACAATAGGGATAGTATTAGATACTCTAAATACCAAAGTGCCTTGTAAATAATGTTGTCTAAACAATGTCCCAGTGCTAATATTGCTACATTTTGCACAACACATGATGTGAGCAGTTATGTATGGACTAATGCCAGTGTAGTCATTAACTTATCTGTATCTCAATGGAACCCATTATGGATATCTTCATCTACATAACAATATACCATTAAATATTTGTAAGAAAATATTTTAGGGTTTTGCTACCTATTTTTATTATGTGATTGGTGTGTTATATAGTTATGTGTTATTTTTATTGTTCATGTTTTAATGTTTTTTTTGTCCTGTATAGCATTTGTCAAGGAAAATCCTTATAATAAAAATGACTGTACCATTTATTATTGTTTAATTAAGCCTAATAAACAGTGTGAAAAGGGTGATGGTTGTCTCCAGTCCATGAGAGGGCACCAGTTACAACAAAGTGAGTGTGTACGTTGCTGTATGCGTCTTGACTATGATACTTACGTCATATTGTGGAGACGAACGTCAACATTGTTGACATCGAGGGGACGTTCTTATAATAGCTCAATGCGAGGGACATTACTTTTTAAAAACTGGTGGTGGATTACTGTTCATTATTGTTAGTTTTATCTTCAGTAAAGGACTAGGTCACGATGCTCTCTATTTCCAGATTTCTTCACAAAAATCAAGTAAATCAATTTAATTAATTATAATGCATAACGTTAGACTAGCCAACTAAACTAGCTAACTTTGAAGGTTGAGTGCGAATATTTTGTGCTCACTCAATCAGACAGCAAGTGGCACTGACCATTTAGCTAGTTACGTGAGCTAGCTAACGTTACAACATGTAATTCAATATTTATTGTGAGTTAGCAAACGTTCGCTAACTGTCTTTGAAAACATTTCTGTTTTAGGCTGTTTTGGTTTCTAGACAGTTGCAGAGGACTCTGTCTTCTCAGACAGACGGAGAGACCCGAATCGCACACATTCTCAAAGAGAAGTTTCCATCGGCCACGTCTCTAAAAGTTGTGGACATATCAGGTAAAGAAACCTAGAAACATGGATGTCAAAAGTGGTCCTGATCTAGCCCAACTAGCTAGATCATTAGGCATAATCAAATATGTGTTACTACGACGCGGAAGTTTTTGGTGTCTTTCTCTTATTTAGTGGACTCACTCTCGCGTGGTCATCCTTCCATATTCGGTCTCGTTTACTCGACTATTGGAACGGAATTCGATAAGCCTGTGCTTCCTAGGATAGTGTGTGGATTATTGGCGGTTGGCATCCAATAATAATAGTGCAACGAACTGTACTTTATGTACTCTCACATGTTGAAGTGCCAGATGCACTCAATAGTTCAAGAAAATACTTATGGAAATACAACCAAAAACCCAGCCCAAACTGCATGTACTACCATACACAGTACTATCCCTAACCACAGGCCTGAGGGCATCACCTCCTCTTCCAACATTTTCTGTAGATCCTCTGTATCCAGAAAATGTTCAGCTGCTCTACAATTCAAATTTTATCTGACCAGCTTTCTACTTGTGCAGCACAATTCACACCCATAGCGATGAAGATCAGAAACCTGGACTTGTCAAAACACAGTTGCTTGGATCCACACATTTCACTGGGAACATTCACTATTTGTCCTCCTCCATCTGAGTGGGCAACGGGGAGAGCCCTGAGCCCTACCTCCTGATTCACCCTTCTCAGTGCTTCTGCTTATGTAACACCCTGTCCCACCTGTATCTGTTTCACCTTTACCAGGCACTCTGTAGCCTTGGCCTCATGACTACCTCCACAATTACTACACTTTCTGGGCTCATCCTCCAAACATTTCTCCACTACGTGGAAACCTCCACACCTTGCACATCTAGGTTGCCCCATCCTACACACTGACGCTACATGACCACATTTCTGACAGCGAAAACACTGCAGAACAGCTGGCACGAATGCTCTAACCGGATAGCTCAATATATCTCAACATTACCCGATCAAAAGTACCTCAAAATCAAAGCATAGCAAAACAGACAGGCTCTTCCTTCAATCCATTTAGATTACGGCTAAACCGTCTAACCTCTCACACACCAGGAACCTTCCTATTTAGCTGCTCAACCTCTACACTTAGAGGCACTGCTATAACTCCCTTGAGTGGAGCCCTGCTCCGTAAACTAAAGCACATTACTTCTCGTTCTCCCAGTCGGACCATGCACAATGCTCGGTCCTTCTGGCAGGTGGTATGCATCCTATCCTAACGAATAAACTCCTCTCTATTTGAACATACTGTACCTTCCCTATTCTACTCTCTCCCACCTTGAGACCACAGGAGGTTGGTGGTACCTTAATTGGGGAGGACGGGCTCTTGGTAATGGCTGGAGCGGAATACTGGAATGGTATCAAATATATGGTTTCCATGTGTTTGATGCCATTCCATTTGCTCCGTTCCGGCCATTATTATGAGCCGTCCTCCCCTCAGCAGCCTCCACTGCTTGAGGCATCAAACTGGTCTGCCAAAACCCCATGATTGACTTTTTCTAAGAACCGAACTCCAATCACCATAGAATCCTCATAGACAATCCTCTTATATCCATTCCCCAGATCTTCTTCCTATCCATTCTTCAAAGGCACAGCAGTCGCCTCATCTTTCTTCCCTGACTCCTCTCTTCCATTTTTCCCTATCTCATCTTCACTCTCTTCACTTCCCTCAAACTCCATCCCACTCCCTCCATGATCACTATTAAACTGAGAAAAAAAGGTTCTCAGCGTCATCTATTCATTTATTTGCTTGAGGGCTAATACAGTGGCTTGCGAAAGTATTCACCCCCCTTGGCATTTTTCCTATTTTGTTGCCTTACAACTTGGAATTAAAAATGTTTTTTTGGGGGTTTGTATCATTTGATTTACACAACATGCCTACCACTTTGAAGATGCAAAATATTTTTTTGGGTGAAACAAACAAGAAATAAGACAAAAAAACTGAACTTGAGTGTGCATACCTATTCATCCCCCATCCAAAGTCAATACTTTGTAGAGCCACCTTTTGCAGCAACTACAGCTGCAAGTCTCTTGGGGTATGTCTCTATAAGCTTGGCACATCTATCCACTGGGATTTTTGCCCATTCTTCAAGGCAAAACTGCTCCAGCTCCTTCAAGTTGGATGGGTTCCGTTGGTGTACAGCAATCTTTATGTCATACCACAGATTCTCAATTGGATTGAGGTCTGGGCTTTGACTAGGCCATTCCAAGACATTTAAATGTTTCCCCTTAAACCACTCAAGTGTTGCTTTAGTAGTATGCTTAGGGTCATTGTACTGCTGGAAGGTGAAATTCCGTCCCAGTCTCAAATCTCTGGAAGACTGAAACAGGTTTCCCTCAAGTATTTCCCTGTATTTAGTGCCATCCATCATTCCTTCAATTCTGACCAGTTTCCCAGTCCCTGCCGATGAAAAACATATCCACAGAATGATGCTGCCACCCCCATGCTTCACTGTGGGGATGGTGTTCTCGGGGTGATGAGAGGTGTTGGGTTTGCACCAGACATAGCTTTTTCCTTGATGGCCAAAAAGCTCAATTTTAGTCTAATCTGACCAGAGTTCCTAATTCCATATGTTTGGGGAGTCTCCCACATGGCTTTTGGCGAACACCAGACGTGTTTGCTTATTTTTTTCTTTAAGCTATGGCTTTTTTCTAGCCACTCTTCCGTAAAGCCCAGCTCTGTGGAGTGTACGGCTTAAAGTGGTCCTATGGACAGATACTCCAATCTCCGCTGTGGAGCTTTGCAGCTCCTTCAGGGTTATCTTTGGTCTCTTTGTTGCCTCTCTGATTAATGCCCTCCTTACCTGGTTTGTGAGTTTTGGTGGGCGGCCCTCTCTTGGCAGGTTTGTTGTGGTGCCATATTCTTTCAATTTTTTAAATAATGGATTTAATGGTGCTCCGTGGGATGTTCAAAGTTTCTGATATTTTTTTATAACCCAACCCCGATCTGTACTTCTCCACAACTTTGTCCCTGACTTGTTTGGAGAGCTCCTTGGTCTTCATGGTGCCGCTTGCTTGGTAGTGCCCCTTGCTTAGTGGTGTTGCAGACTCTGGGGCCTTTAGAACAGGTGTATATATACTGAGATCATGTGACAGATCATGTAACACTTAGATTGCACACAGGTGGACTTTATTTAACTAATTATGTGACTACTGAAGGTAATTGGTTGCACCAGATCTTATTTAGGGGCTTCATAGCCAATGGGGTGAATACATATCAATAACAAAAGTTTCTCAATACTTTGTTATATACCCTTTGTTGGCAATGACACAGGTCAAACGTTTTCTGTAAGTCTTCACAAGGTTTTCACACACTGTTGCTGGTATTTTGGCCCATTCCTCCATGCAGATCTCCTCTAGAGCAGTGATGTTTTGGGGCTGTCGCTGGGCAACACAGACTTTCAACTCCCTCCAAATATTTTCTATGGGGTTGAGACTGGCTAGGCCACTCCAGGACCTTGAAATGCTTCTTACGAAGCCACTCCTTCGTTGCCCGGGCGGTGTGTTTGGGATCATTGTCATGCTGAAAGACCCAGCCACGTTTCATCTTCAATGCCCTTGCTGATGGAAGGAGGTTTTCACTCAGAATCTCACGATACATGGCCCCATTCATTCTTTCCTTTACACGGATCAGTCGTCCTGGTCCCTTTGCAGAAAAACAGCCCCAAAGAAAGATGTTTCCACCCCCATGCTTCACAGTAGGTATGGTGTTCTTTGGATGCAACTCAGCATTCTTTGTCCTCCAAACACGACGAGTTGAGTTTTTACCAAAAAGTTCTATTTTGGTTTCATCTGACCATATGACATTCTCCCAATCCTCTTCTGGATCATCCAAATGCACTCTAGCAAACTTCAGACTGGCCTGGACATGTACTGGCTTAAGCAGGGGGACACGTCTGGCACTGCAGGATTTGAGTCCCTGGCGGCGTAGTGTGTTATTGATGGTAGGCTTTGTTACTTTGGTCCCAGCTCTCTGCAGGTCATTCACTAGGTCCCCCCGTGTGGTTCTGGGATTTTTGCTCACCGTTCTTGTGATCATTTTGACCCCACGGGGTGAGATCTTGCGTTGAGCCCCAGATCGAGGGAGATTATCAGTGGTCTTGTATGTCTTCCATTTCCTAATAATTGCTCCCACAGTTGATTTCTTCAAACCAAGCTGCTTACCTATTGCAGATTCAGTCTTTCCAGCCTGGTGCAGGTCTACAATTTTGTTTCTGGTGTCCTTTGACAGCTCTTTGGTCTTGGCCATAGTGGAGTTTGGAGTGTGACTGTTTGATGTTGTGGACAGTTGTCTTTTATACTGATAACAAGTTCAAACAGGTGCCATTAATACAGGTAACGAGTGGAGGACAGAGGAGCCTCTTAAAAAGAAGTTACAGGTCTGTGAGAGCCAGAAATCTTGCTTGTTTGTAGGTGACCAAATACTTATTTTCCACCATAATTTGCAAATAAATTCATTAAAAATCCTACAATGTGATTTTCTGGAAAAAAAATTCTCAATTTGTCTGTCATAGTTGACGTGTACCTATGATGAAAATTACAGGCCTCTCTCATCTTTTTAAGTGGGAGAACTTGCACAATTGGTGGCTGACTAAATACTTTTTTTCCCCACTGTATGCACGCACCATTTTTCCGTTATTTATTTCTTCGAATTTTTTGAAACAAGTTATTTTTTTCATTTCACTTCACCGATTTGGACTATTTTGTGTATGTCCATTACATGAAATCGAAATAAAAATCAATTTAAATTACAGGTTGTAATGCAGCAAAATAGGAAAAACGCCAAGGGGGATGAATACTTTTGCAAGGCACTGTATATATTAGAGGGGTTACGAAGTATGTGAGGATGGAGGGGGGATGGTCTGGAGGGGGAAGTTGTAGAAATTTGCATTTTTCAAATACCTGAAACAGCTTTTTCCTGAAATCTAGATCCATAATCAGTATGCCTAATTCTATGTAAAAAAAATAAACATATTTTTCTGGATAGGTTATCTAAGGATACGTCATTACCAGGTCAATTTTAATGAGGGTGTCATTCTGACTATTGTAAATCACACATCTCAATATACTGCACAAATATGCCTAGGATATTACATCCAAATTACAACACAGTACATGGGATCATAACACACATCATCAATACAGGCACATATCATGACATCATCATTAATTCACAACTATCATGATATTATCGTAAGGTGACAGATTACATTTAAACCATGTATTTTTCTGCATACCTCTTGAGCTGTCTGTATCCTCTTGCCTGAAGGTAATTTTTTTATGCTTATTTGCATTTCTGCTAAAATCTGGGTAAAAGATTGAAAGGAATGTGAGTCTTATTCAGTACATTTAGTAAAATTGCCAGCAGACATGCCAGCTAAGATAGTTAGACAAGCTACTCTAACTTGACTGATAGCCTGAAATGGCTTGGTAGCTAGTTATAAGGTTGGGAGATTGGGGACCTATCTAGCTGGCTAGCTAAAGCCAACTTCATAAAATGGCTAGGTGGCAAGAATTACAGAGAAACAACAAAACATACAGTTGAAGTCGGAAGTTTACATACACCTTAGCCAAATACATTTAAACTCAGTTTTTCACAATTCCTGACATTTAATCCTAGTAAAAATTCCCTGTATTAGGTCAGTTAGGATCACCACTTTATTTTAAGAATGTGAAATGTCTGAATAATAGTGATTTATTTCAGCTTTTATTTCTTTCATCACATTCCCAGTGGGTCAGAAGTTTACATACACTCAATTAGTATTTGGTAGCATTGCCTTTAAATTGTTTAACTTGGGTCAAACGTTTCGGGTAGCCTTCCACAAGCTTCTCACAATAAGTTGAGTGAATTTTGGCCCATTCCTCCTGACAGAGCTGGTGTAACTGAGTCAGGTTTGTAGGCCTCCTTGCTCGCACACGCTTTTTCAGTTCTGCCCACAAATGTTCTATAGGATTGAGGTCAGGGCTTTGTGATGGCCACTCCAATACCTTGACTTTGTTGTCCTTAAGCCATTTTGCCACAACTTTGGAAGTATGCTTGGGGTCATTGTCCATTTCGAAGACCCATTTGCGACCAAGTTTAACTTCCTGACTGATGTCTTAAGATGTTGCTTCAATATATCCACAACATTTTCCTTCCTCATGATGCCATCTATTTTGTGAAGTGCACCAGTCCCTCCTGCAGCAAAGCACTCCCACAGCATGATGCTGCCACCCCCGTACTTCACGGTTGGGATGGTGTTCTTCGGCTTGCAAGCGACCCCCTTTTTCCTCCAAACATAACGATGGTCATTATGGCCAAACAGTTCTATTTTTGTTTCATCAGACAAAAATCTGATGGACATTTCTCCAAAAAGTACGATCTTTGTCCCCATGTGCAGTTGCAAAAAGTACGATCTTTGTCCCCATGTGCAGTTGCAAACCGTAGTCTGTCTTTTTTTATGGCGGTTTTGGAGCAGTGGCTTCTTTAGCAGCCTTTCAGGTTATGTTGATATAGGACTCATTTTACTGTGGATATAGATACTTTTGTACCTGTTTCCTCCAGCATCTTCACAAGGTCCTTTGCTGTTGTTCTGGGATTGATTTGCACCAAAGTACGTTCATCTCTAGGAGACAGAACGCGTCTCGTTCCTGAGTGGTATGACGGCTGCGTACTATTGTTTGTACAGATGAACGTGGTACCTTCAGGCGTTTGGAAATTGCTCCCAAGGATGAACCAGACTTGTGGAGGTCTACAATTTCTTGGCTGATTTCTTTTGATTTTCCCATGATGTCAAGCAAAGAGCCACTGAGTTTGAAGGTAGGCCTAGAAATACATCCACAGGTACACCTCCAATTGACTCAAATGATGTCAATTAGCCTATCAGAAGCTTTCAAAGCCATGACATAATTTCCTGGAATTTTCCAAGCAGTTTAAAGGCACAGTCAACTTAGTGTATGTACATTTCTGACCCACTGGAATTGTGATACAGTGAATTATAAGTGAAATAATCTGTCTGTAAACAATTGTTGGAAAAATGCACAAAGTAGATGTCTTAACCGACTTGCCAAAACTATAGTTTGTTAACAAGACATTTGTGAAGTGGTTGAAAAACAAGTTTTAATGACTCCAACTTAAGTGTATTTAAACTTCCAACTTCAACTTTTATTCATCAAAAAGAAATCAATAGGCTGCACAGCTTAATCAAATTTGTTTATAAACTTACCTCCTGCAAGTCCTGCCCATCACCGGCAGCTAAAATCAAATCAAAAACAGGACAAATCGGAGGGGGCACGTGCCCTTGTTCCCCCTATGGGCATGACGACTCTGATTCCTTGAAGCACTCATGACAATGGTGTGACACTACGTTTTCTGTTCTCAGGTGGCTGTGGTGCCATGTATGAAGTCCATATAGAATCCAATGAATTTAAAGGGAAAAGAACAGTTCAACAACACCAACTAGTCAACCAGGTAACCTATGGGGATACATTCTGGAGAGATCAATTAGTTTGCACCATTGTATGGAAGCGTAGAGGCTATATAGCGCTGTCAAAATTGTACATTTGCTTTGGTTTAAATTGTTTTGTACCAATCGGATGTGTGGGATGAGAGATAAAGGAACAACAAGTAGTAAAGTATGTCAAATTGCTCAGTCTTATATCAAACCTTTCAGGTGAAATTATTATCCTGTATTGCATTTTATGCCAAATGCAAAATTGTTGCAAAAACAGCACAGCTGAAAACTGCTATGTTCTCATCCATAGGCACTCAAGGAGGAGATCCAAGGAATGCATGGACTACGAATATTCACAGATATTCCTCGAGAGTAGGACCAAGCCCTTTCACAAATTGTAGGCCTATGAACGTACACCCCTCAAATGGAATGTCATATGCTGATTCAATTTTCATCTGAGGATGAACACCCCAAAATCTCAGATGAATTGCTAATGTGTCTGTGGCAGTAACAAAGGAAACGGTTTGTCCTGTTACTTCCTGACAATATTGTTAGAAATAATCTGAAGAATTCAAGGTAGGGACACGTTTTACAATGTAAATTGTGTAATAAATGTAACTAAAACCATCATATATTTTTATTTATTTACCATAAACACAGTTAAATCATTGATGAGATTATTCGAATGCTGCCTTTACAGAAGACATTGACCTAAAAAGCTATGATACGCTCTGGATAAGAGTGTCTGCTAAATGACTAAAATGTAAATGTAAATGTAAAATAACGCTGTCAGGATTCATTAGTAAATTGCCAAGTCAATTAGCCCCCTATCCAACTGAGTTGGCCTATAGTGTTTTTTAACCATTGTAAAGATAGGATGCAAGTACATTGTAGTGAACAGATGGAAAACCTCATGATAAAACGACTAGCTATGCAACTATTCTTGTACATTTATTCTGAAATTGAAAATCCTGCCTATATTTGTGTTTTTGTTTAGTGTCGTAGTTATTTGTTTAAGTCATGAGACACAGTCATGAGACAAGTTTCCATTCCATTTCCAGTATTTATGTTCTGTTATTCCTCCTTGTTAACCATTAATGTAGAAATAAAAGTTGCTGACAAAGTTGATGGACTTAAATAAATAGTATGTTATTAAAAGGACAAAAACACTTGACCCTTATGTCTTTATTAAAGGGATACTTCAGGATTTAGCCTACACTATTGTAGAATTTATAATTTGCAGGTGTCTAACAACCTCATTAGATTGTAATAATCACTGTGTGGGCCTACTCCTACTGTGTGGCCCCAATGCGACCCATACTTGGTAAATGTACTACAGTTTTTTCTACTGTGAAATTCACCAGCAGGTGGGGCCCCCGTAGCTATTTCCCTGACCAATATTTTTTGGGGTTAGTACTTTAAGTGAGAATACGTTTTACTACATGGTAGCCTACTTGAGATGTAACTTTGTTGCTTGCTTATTCATAAACAGGTTATGATTGGATTATAGACATGAAACCTATTGCCAGTAAATGGACATTCATAATTGTGATATTCCCCAAAATACTGATATACAGTGTCCTGTAGCCTATGTGTTGTAGTCAATCAATGTAAGGTCTGTGTTTTGATACTCACAAATATTTGAATTTTTGTGCCTGGAAGAAGACATTTGCGAATAACCCTGTCTGATCACGTGCCCATTTGTAGCCGCAATAGTGGAATTTGCGGTTCGCCTTCAAAATAAAAGTCCCCAATTGAAAGTGACGCAAAGGGATACAAATAGTGGAATGATGCCATATTTGGACAAAATAATCGTAAACAAAGTTTGAATGTTGTTACATAATTTAAAGTTAAATACAATAATTAATTAATTTGACAAACAGAAAAATCTGTTGAAATCCAACTGCATTGTCTTACGTCATATAATGAGCCGATTCCGCCTGCGCTGATCGGTTGAAGGACGCGCTTCGCATAGGAGTGATGCCATCTGACGTAAGACAACGATCCCACTGTGGATGTATTAGACTGCATAATTGCATTGGGGGAAATACATATATTCACTGTACAGCCTTACCTATGGATTGTGCATCCAAGAAACGGTGTATCAGCCTACTCAGTGACACCCACAGAACACAGTTCTTAAAACATGAGTGTCTTAGCTCTTATTGCAGGACTTTGACTGGTAAATCACCTCCCCAATCAGTCTATTGAGGTTAGGCTGTACAGTGCAATATGAATATTAAATACACACAGGCTGACTGGGAAGGTGATTTCCCACAGTCAAAGTCATGCAATAAGAGCTAAGATGCTAATATAAACGCTTGAGAATTGTGTTCTGTCGGCATCACTCCATAGGTAAGGCTGTACAGTGAATATACTGTAAGTATGCCCCAATGCAATTATGCAGTCTAATACATCCACAGTGGGATTTCAACTGTTTTTTTCTGTTTATTGTCAAATTAATTATTGCATTTAACAGCATTCCAACATTGGTTAGCATTATCTAGTCCAAATGGCATGATTCCACTATCCGTTTGAAAAACGTTCAATTAGGGACTTTTATTTTGAAGGCGAACCGCAAATTTCCCTATTGTGGCTAATCGTTACTGTGACTAGCTTGACACAGGTCTGTTATGCCTTGCCAAACTGCTTGCTTGCTGCTCTTCCACAGGGAGATGCTATACTGACACGCCTGGTGCCCAAAATGTATGACGCGCAGCGAGAGTTGAGTGGGGACGAACGGATTTGGTTCAAGGCAGTCGTCCTAATAATGAGCCCTCCCCAACAAGCTAATTTATGCTTGTGGCTAGAAAATTCAGCGGTAATTTCTATGCCGAAATTGGGACTTGCCGAAGTTTTCAGAATCATTACCTGTATAGGAATAATTGTTATTTTTTTTACATTAATTTGTAACCATTTTTTTTTTTTACAAAAATGTTTACGTTAATGTAGTTTTAGGCCACATGTCAGCCTGGCCTGATATTGCGACACTATCTAGCTAGCTACTTCTCTCCTTACTGCAGGACGTGTTGTTGTGTTGCCTTGCAGCCCTAACTATCCCCATTGAGCAGTAAACTGAATCACGGTGACATCTAGATGGTTACTACCAATATTTTAAGTTATTTCTCGTGTAGGCTGCTATCCTACTGGAAATATAATCAAATTGGATGGAACAAATTCGGCACGTTAGCGATATGTGATACAACTGGCCGGTGAAGCAACTGCTGCCCAGTGGGGAAGCACCTCGATATCACACCGTTGTACTGGTCATTCACATCAAATTGTCGTTACGTTAGCTGACATCGAGATGGTGACCAATACTACAAGTTATTTTCCCCTCGTCCATTGAAATAAACATAACTTTCTTTTACAAGTTTTAATTAGTGCCAATGAAATGCTGCTGCTGTTGCCAGCTAGTCAGTATAAACTAGACTCATCAGGACGCCTGACTGAACCGAAGCCCTTCGTCTCCACTCGACTCTTAACTGCGCGATATACGTCATCAATTAGTGCGTGTTAATTATTTATATATACACTAGAAGACTAAAAGTGGGCGCTGTGTGGAAGTTTCTGTGCCTCCATCTTGGCACTTCCCCACCGGTGTAAAACAAATATTTTGGAAGCTATAGAAATGCATTTATTATTGTCTACATTCGTTTTTGCCACATTTATTATATAACAGACACCTTAATGCATACTTCTGAATTATATTATGTGAGCTAAATGTAAGAAATAAATAAAATATAAAAACATTTTCCATAAAGTATCATTTTTTGAGATTAATAATTTTACTGTCCGACTACAACAACAAAAATACTTAAATAAATGTAATTTTGTCCTTGAAACATTTAATTGAAATACTGTAGAATTTCATTAATTTCTATGGAGGACTGCTCCTATTGGGGAGTGCCAATATGGCCGAGTGGTGGCTTCAAAGTCTCTCATTGGCCAATACACAGCATCAGTAATCCAGGGTTTATAAACATATTTGGTCCGTATAGCTCTCCCTCTTCCAAAAGAGAACTGATTCGGCTCATACTGCGCATTCTGAACTTGGAAGCAGGAGGGAAGGAAGGACCAGTTACAAGCTCGAGCATCCCCTTCCAGCCTCATGAAGCCCACCGAAATGGCTAAAGAAGGAGCAGAGATGACAGAGGAAACTGAGCACATGATAGAGAAGAATGGCGCAAAGGAAACAGAAAATGTAGTATCTGCAGGAGATGCCAAAGAAATGCGAGCCGTAATACTGTCCGGTTTTGGGGGTCTCAACAAACTCCGGGTAACCAAGAAGGCGATGCCTGAGCCACAGGAAGGAGAAGTGAAAATTCGCGTCAAAGCATGGTAAACGTTGGATAGTAAACTGTTGATGTAATTGTTACATTGATGCCTGCCTATATGATTTTAAAATATCAGTGTTGCGAAGTTACCATAAATGTAGTGCAACATGTTGCAGATTCTGATTCAGTATGGGCGAGCCATGAATAAACCTTTAATTAAAGTAGGTTCAACTCGACCTGTATAGTTTGTAAAAGTGACACGAGAAAAGGACTCATTGCATTCATGAAGCCACATGTCCTCTGATGGTTCACTGTCTGTAATAGATGATTAATAAGGACTGTCTGTGGACCAGTCATGCAAATGAAAAGCAAAAACACCTGCAATGTTGGAATTAATTAGAATTTGTCTTGATAAAATTATTTGCTTGGCTTGTTCTTGACTGATAATCTTTATGAGCTTTTTATTGGATCTGGCAGAAGGGGGAATAGTTAAATACCACGAGCCAGTTAAAATGGCTTTTCTCATTACAACTGTCTCATACAAAGTCCTACACTTGTGGTATTTATGCTCTATTCTCGAATGCTAGCCTACTTGTCATTTAGTAAGTAGATTCTGATGAGGGATTGATTATTTGTCTTTACTCCAACAATATTGTTTTATTGATAATATTGAAATACATAATAAGTACACATAAATTATACATTCAACAAGTGACAAGCAATTTTTCCATAAAAGGGAGGCTGTTACAGATATACTGTATCACAGATGAGCTATTTGTTGTTCAGTGCATGTGAATCACCATGGCCTTGGAACTGTAGGCCCTTTTAATAGTCTGGAATTCAAGCATGGGTTTGTAGATGTCAGACAGTTTGTGTTGTGAACTTATGACTGCTAAGGCATTTATTTATTAACATATTTGATCAAATAGTGAAAATGACCATCATGCAATATTGTGTCTTCTCCAATCACCTAAGTTAAAAATAAATAACTTTGCTTGATTGTGATGTTAATATCAATGAGACATTTACTGTTGCAGTGGCTTGAACTTCCTGGACCTTATGGTGCGTCAAGGGAATATTGACAATCCTCCGAAAACTCCACTTGTCCCTGGATTTGAATGTTCTGGAATAGTGGAGGCGATGGGAGAAAACACAAAGGGATTTGAGGTCAGTGTATCCAGATCACAGTATGTTACAGATGTTATGTCATGGATTAGTAGCACAACTATATTGATCTCACTTTGCATTTTTACCCCAAAAAATATTGATTTGCTGTTACGGTTTGAAATGTTTAATGTTGCTATTTTGAAATGCATTGGTCAGAGTAGCATGTGAGGGTTGGTGCATTTCTAAAACAAACCTGTAACCATGTCACCTCCCAAATCTGCATTTAACATATTTTATAGCTGATCCTTTCTTCTCTCCAGATAGGAGACCGGGTTATGGCTTTTGTAAATTACAATGCCTGGGCAGAGGTGGTTTGCACACCGCTGGATTACGTCTATAACATGCCTGATGATATGACTTTTCCTGAGGCAGCAGCCTTCTCCATGAACTTCGTGGCTGCCTACATGATGCTGTTTGAGGTTGCCAATCTGCGAGAGGGGATGTCAGTATTGGTCCACTCAGCAGGAGGGGGTGTGGTAAGTCAACGCCCGAGAGGAGGTGGAAAGAAAAACACAGCATTTCCTGAAATGATATCAGTGATGTTACTATAGATACCACCAAGGTGTGTAGCTCTGGTGGCTCTTGAGGGTAACAGCCTGTGGCTATTATCAGGCAGCTCAGATGCTGTTTTACATAATGCTTTATTCATGATTAAGATGGACATGACAGGAGATGGTGAGATGTGGCTGAGAAAACGACATCTAGGAAAGATGTGACTGTGGTGGGAGATGGACATTGTCTGGGCTGTGCTGGTTAAAGTATATTAACACAGACTCTTCAGACTCTTTTTTACAAGACATTGAATTATCAGGCTCCTGTAGCACATTTCCCTTTAGCGAAAGCAGTTTGTGATTCCCAGCTTTAATAATTAAACAGAACTAGAGATGTAATTATGCTCTAGAGATGCTCCTACAGACTATAATTCATGAACAACCTGTTGCAGTTTGTCAACATACAGTAGAGCGACTGCTCAGATTTCAGACTGATGCGCACAATAGGATATAACTCTGTTGTTTAGTACCATACTGTAGTAGAGATGGACAAGAAAACATTTACTGCCTTTACCTAGTGTGTTGAATGATTAAAATAATTATTATCATTATTTTTCATATCAAAGATGGATTATGGTTGGTAAAGCTGTGATGCATAACCTGTGGAAATGTAATTGTCTGGATTGGCCTTGTGTAATAGTGTCTGTGCCTTGAAGAGTCTGACTGGGATTGTGTGGTGTTTTTCAGGGTCAAGCTGTGGCTCAGCTGTGCTCCACTATACCCAGCGTCACCGTGTTTGGAACGGCCTCATCTTTCAAACATGAAGCCATCAAAGACTCTGTGACCCACCTCTTCGACAGAAACGTTGATTATGTACAAGAAGTTAAAAAGTAAGGTTTGTTTTTTGTTCTACAAGAACAATTATTGGTATAAAATGTTTCTTATAAACATAGAACTGCAGCAGTAATTGTTCTTCACAATTTTTATGAATAAGACTAATTTGTTAGCAAATGTGTAATTTCATTGGATCTTACAGGTTTATTAAAATATGTTTAGATATAATTTCACATAATTACTAATAAGCTCTTTTGGTTTATAATGTGCAATTTGATATGTACATATGAAATGACAATGATAATGTGATAACGTAGAACACAGAGCATGTAGAGCTCAGGGAGGATGCAGATGTTAGTCGATGCCATATTTGGACGTGTGGCTGCGGTCCCCATGGCAACACACAGCTCGTCTCCGAGAGCAACGGCAGTGTGTGGGGCAGAGTGCTCAGAGGCTCTCTAAAGGCAACCTGCAACAGGCTGTCTGCTGGGGACGTGGAACAGCTGGGCCAATCAGCAGAGAGCCCTGATGCCTCATAAATACCATCCCCATTCAGATCACACTGCATGTCGTTGTCTTGTCTGTTCCAAACATATTGCTCACCATATGTCTGCTGCAGTCATAGAACTAAAAGTGCTGAAAACAAATTGGCTCCCTATTTAAAAAGACGATGGAGAACAAGCTATGGATGTTTTTCGTGCAGGTACAGACAACTACTGCAAAAATAATATTGCGATATTGTCAAAACGATACAATATATCCTAAAAAAATAATATCCCGATATGTAACTCTATGGATTTTGTCCCCCATCACTAATTAACATGTTTGATTGGCAATCAGTGCAATCCATAGGGATGCTGCCTCCTCAATAGGAGACAATCAGAAAATAACCCTCTATGCCAAGGCTAACTTCACATCTACTGTCTAATAGGAATAGTGTTTTGGAGGTGAGTCATGCAGTCAGGAGGCTTAAAGCATGTCCATCAGATAGTCACATTCTGAATGTATTCTGAAGATAGTGCTTTATAAATGCATACATTTAACCAAGCTTTCCTCTTGAGTTCCTTTCTTAAGGAGCCTAATCCTTGGTTCCCCCTCAGTACTTATTGACCGAGGGAGAATACTGTCTGCCTGCATATCACAATGGTAGTAAATACAGCCATATCAGAGGGAGAGGCAGATTAATAAGCCTTTCATCTCTGTGGCCCCACATTCCTCTCAGGATCAAGAGCAAAGCAAAATTAAATTGGTCTCAAGTCGCCTCTTTTACAATAGGCAAGGCCATGGGCATCATAAGACCGCCAAGCAGTTTAGCCAAGCAGGCGGTCAGGCCACCAGGCAGAAAGAAAGGCATTAGGACCCCTTGATCAGAACATGCCTCTCATTCTTTCTTTCACATTAGTGCTTTCAAGTGAGTCATGCCATGAAAAATCGCACTGATGGTTAACCTGTCCAATGCTTATAGGTATTTTTAATACTGTATCACTTGAAATCAAGAGTGGAATTTGATGGAACAAAAGGCTGATCGAAACGTCAATAAAGTGGAATGTTTAGTATTTGCTAAAAATATAAATTTTAAGTATTGAAAGCTGAACTAAACATTGAATGACTAATAGATTGATAGGCGTCTGATGAAGCCTGCAGTCGAGGCTGTCTGTAAATGAGGAACATGTTGATTCTCGTTAATTGAATTTCCTGTATTTGGTAGGATCTCTCCAGAGGGAGTGGACATCGTCCTGGACTGTCTGTGTGGGGAGAACACTGGTAAAGGCCTCGGTCTGCTGAGGCCTCTGGGAACCTACATCCTCTACGGTTGGTGTCCTGTCACGATGCTACTCATACATTTGCTACATTGTGCCACCAGTATCACACATAAGACTCTTGAGATATGATGTGGTATTAGCCTGTGAATGTTGGAAGTATCTTGAGTGACATTTTTTATTTAGAACATTTCAAACTTACTGACAGGTATTGTATATAGGTTAGGCACCATTGCACTTGTGCTATACATATACAGTGCTTTCAAGAAGTATTCACACCCGATGACTTATTCCATATTTTGTTGGTTTACAGCCTGAATTGAAAATTGATTAAATCGATTTTTTTCTCTCACCCATCTACACACAATATCCCACAATGACAAAGTGAAAACATGTTTTTAGAAATGTTAGCAATTTTATTCACAATTAAATGGTCCTCTGTAGCTCAATTGGTAGAGCATGGCGCTTGTAACGCCAGGGTAGTGGGTTCGATCCCCGGGACCACCCATATGTAAAAGTGTATGCACACATGACTGTAAGTCGCTTTGGATAAAAGCGTCTGCTAAATGGCATATTATATTATATTATTATATTAAATACAGAAATATCTCATTTACATAAGTATTCACACTCCTGAGTCAATACATGTTAGAATCACATTTGGCAGCAATTACAACTGTGAGTCTTTCTGGGTAAGTCTCTTAAGAGCTTTGCAAACCTGGATTGTACAATATTTGCCCATTATTCTTTAAAAGATTCTTAAAGCTCTGTCAAATTGGTTGTGGATCATTGCTAGACAACCATTTTCAAGTCTTCCCATATATTTTCAAGCAGATTTAAGTCAAAACTGTAACTTGGCCACTCAGGAACATTCAAAGTCTTCTTGGTAAGCAACTCCAGTGTAGATTTGGCCTTGTATTTTAGATTATTGTCCTGCTGAAAGGTGAAGTAATCTCCCAGTGTCTGGTGGAAAGCAGACTGAACCAGGTTTTCCTGTAGGATTTGCCTGTGCTTAGCTCCATTCTGTTTATTTTGTATTCTGAAAAACTCCAGTCGTTAACAATTACAAGCATACCCATAACTTGATGCAGCCACCACTATACTTGAAAATATGGAGAGTAGTACTCGGTCATGTGTTGTATTGTATTTGCCCCAAACATAACACGTTGTATTCAGGACAAAAAGTGAATTGCTTTGCCACATTTTTTGCAGTATTACTTTAATGTCTTTTCACTATGTCAATTAGGTTAGTATTGTAGAGTAACTACAATTTTGTTGATCCATCCTCAGTTTTTTCCTTTCACAGCCATTCAACTCTGTAACTTTTTTAAAGTCATGGTGAAATCCCTGAGCGGTTTCCTTCGTCTCCGGCAACTGAGTTAGAAAGGACGCCTGTATCTTTGTAGTGACTGGGTGTATTGAAACACCATCCAAAGTGTAATTAATAACCTCACCGTGCTCAAAGGGATATTCAAGGTCTGCTTTTTATTGTATTTGTTTACCCATCTACCAATAGGTGCCCTTCTTTGCGAGGCAAAGTGGTCTTAGTGGTTGAATCTGTGTTTGAAATGCACTGCTCGACTGAGGGACCTTACAGATACAGTGGGGAAAAAAAGTATTTAGTCAGCCACCAATTGTGCAAGTTCTCCCACTTAAAAAGATGAGAGAGGCCTGTAATTTTCATCATAGGTACACGTCAACTATGACAGACAAATTGAGCAAAAGAAATCCAGAAAATCACATTGTAGGATTTTTAATGAATTTATTTGCAAATGATGGTGGAAAATAAGTATTTGGTCACCTACAAACAAGCAAGATTTCTGGCTCTCACAGACCTGTAACTTCTTCTTTAAGAGGCTCCTCTGTCCTCCACTCGTTACCTGTATTAATGGCACCTGTTTGAACTTGTTATCAGTATAAAAGACACCTGTCCACAACCTCAAACAGTCACACTCCAAACTCCACTATGGCCAAGACCAAAGAGCTGTCAAAGGACACCAGAAACAAAATTGTAGACCTGCACCAGGCTGGGAAGACTGAATCTGCAATAGGTAAGCAGCTTGGTTTGAAGAAATCAACTGTGGGAGCAATTATTAGGAAATGGAAGACATACAAGACCACTGATAATCTCCCTCGATCTGGGGCTCCACGCAAGATCTCACCTCGTGGGGTCAAAATGATCACAAGAACGGTGAGCAAAAATCCCAGAACCACACGGGGGGACCTAGTGAATGACCTGCAGAGAGCTGGGACCAAAGTAACAAAGCCTACCATCAGTAACACACTACGCCGCCAGGGACTCAAATCCTGCAGTGCAAGACGTGTCCCCCTGCTTAAGCCAGTACATGTCCAGGCCCGTCTGAAGTTTGCTAGAGTGCATTTGGATGATCCAGAAGAGGATTGGGAGAATGTCATATGGTCAGATGAAACCAAAATAGAACCTTTTGGTAAAAACTCAACTCGTCGTGTTTGGAGGACAAATAATGCTGAGTTGCATCCAAAGAACACCATACCTACTGTGAAGCATGGGGGTGGAAACATCATGCTTTGGGGCTGTTTTTCTGCAAAGGGACCAGGACGACTGATCCGTGTAAAGGAAAGAATGAATGGGGCCATGTATCGTGAGATTTTGAATGAAAACCTCCTTCCATCAGCAAGGGCATTGAAGATGAAATGTGGCTGGGTCTTTCAGCATGACAATGATCCCAAACACACCGCCCGGGCAACGAAGGAGTGGCTTCGTAAGAAGCATTTCAAGGTCCTGGAGTGGCCTAGCCAGTCTCCAGATCTCAACCCCATAGAAAATCTTTGAAGGGAGTTGAAAGTCTGTGTTGCCCAGCGACAGCCCCAAAACATCACTGCTCTAGAGGAGATCTGCATGGAGGAATGGGCCAAATTACCAGCAACAGTGTGTGAAAACCTTGTGAAGACTTACAGAAAACGTTTGACCTGTGTCATTGCCAACAAAGGGTATATAACAAAGTATTGAGAAACTTTTGTTATTGACCAAATACTTATTTTCCACCATAATTTGCAAATAAATTCATAAAAAATGCTACAATGTGATTTTCTGGAATTTTTTTTCTAATTTTGTCTGTCATAGTTGACGTGTACCTATGATGAAAATTACAGGCCTCTCTCATCTTTTTAAGTGGGAAAACTTGCACAATTGGTGGCTGACTAAATACTTTTTTCCCCCACTGTAATTGTATGTGTGGGGTACAGAGATGAGATAGTCATTCAAAAATCATATTAAAAACTAGTATTGCACACAGAGTCTATGCAACTACTTACACTACATGACCAAAAGTATGTGGACACCTGCTCGTCGAACATCTCATTCCAAAATCATGGGTATTAATATGGAGTTGGTCCACCCTTTGCTGCTATAACAACCTCCACTCTTCTGGGAAGGCTTTCCACTAGATGTTGGAACATTGCTGCGGCGACTTGCTTCCATTCAGCCAAAAGAGCATTAGTGAGGTTGGGCACTGATGTTGGGCGATTGGGCCTGGCTCGCAGTCTGTATGGACCTCGCTTTGTACATGGGGGCATTGTCATGCTGAAACAGGAAAGGGCCTTCCCCAAACTGTTGCCACAAAGTTGGAAGCACAGAATCGTCTAGAATGTCATTGTATGCTGTAGCGTTAAGATTTCCCTTCACTGTAACTAAGGGGCCTAGCCCGAACCATGAAAAACAGCCCCAGACCATTATTCCTCCTCCACCAAACTTTACAGTTGGGACTATGCATTCGGGCAGGTAGCGTTCTCCTGGCATCCGCCAAACCCAGATTTGTCAGTCGGACGGCAAGATGGTGAAGCGTGCTTCATCACCAGAGAACGCGTTTCCACTGCTCCAGAGTCCAATGGTGGCGAGCTTTACACCACTCCAGCCGACGCTTGGCATTGCACATGGTGATATTAGGCTTGTGTGTGGCTGCTCGGCCATGTAAACCCATTTCATGAAGCACCCGATGAACAGTTCTTGTGCCGACGTTGCTTCCAGAGGCAGTTTGGCACTCGGTAGTGAGTGTTGCAACCGAGGACGATTTTTACTTGCTTCAGCACTTGGCAGTCCCGTTCTGTGAGCTTGTATGGCCTACCACTTCATGTCTGAGCCGTTGTTGCTCATAGACATTTACACATATAGCACTTATAGTTGACCGGGGCAGCTCTAGCAGGGTAGAAATTTGACGAAACAACTTGTTGGAAAGGTGGCATCCTATGACGGTGCCACGTTGAAAGTCACTGAGCTCTTCAGTAAGGCCATTCTACTGCCAATGTTTGTCTGTGGAGATTGCATGGCTGTGTGCTCGATTTTATACACCTGTCAGCAGCGGGTGTGGCTGAAATAGCCGAATCCACTAATTTGAAGGGGTGTCCACATATTTCTGTATATATAGTGTGTTTGACTTGTTAAGCAAATTTTTACTCCTAAACTTATTTAAGCTTGCCATAACGAAGGGGTTGAATACTTTTCATTTTTAATTACAAAAAATTACAAAAAGGAAAAACATCATTCCACTTTGACATTATGGGGTACTTTATTGTGTTTAGACCAGTGACGAAAAATATCAATTTAATCCATTTAAAATGTAGGCTGAAACACAACAAAATGTGGAAAAAGTCAAGGGGTGTGAATACTTTCTGAAGGCACTGTTTCCTATGACATAGCTTAGACCACAAATATCTTTAAAATGTCTTGTAATATATAGGCTCAAGCTCTTCAGATTTTCACCTCGTCTAAGGACACTTAGAATACAGATGATCCTATTATTTCTAGGTAATATCCCTCCATCTACTCAATAGTCAATCTGGACAGAATTTAAGCGACTGCTTGAACCTCATTGAAAACTAGGCGTGCGTTGTGATTCAGTGTGAAATTTTGGTTAATTAAAATTGATTAAAAAATGACACCTGAATTTATTTTACTGCCTTTGGCTTTTGTCCACATCTGAATTGTTTAATTACAAGATTCTTCTTGTGTTTCAGATCATGTAGAATTAGAGTTCCTGTCAGTATGACAGTCGTGGAGTTGTAACACTAGTGCGGCATGAATCAATTAATGGTATGACGGTGAACAGATTTCATGAGCTGTGCCAGGACACGCTCTGCCAGATCTAAAAGAGACAACCACTCCTCCCCCACAATAACCCCTCATCACCTCTAGGCTCTTTACTGTTCACCCTTCACTTCAGCCCAACAGTTAACACCGCCACCCTGTCTCTCTCTATAAGCTTGTGTCTTTGTTTTTGTGTTTTCAGGCTCATCAAACATGGTGACTGGGGAAACAAAGAGTTTCTTCAGCCTTGCAAAATCTGTGAGTCAGAAATGCTGAGTCTGTCACTGAGTTTAAAGAATGGAACAGTCTGTTTAATATTTATTGAACATTCATTACTTACATGGTAAATGAAACACAAATGAGTTATTGGGGAGAGTGATGTGTGTGTCTCTGGTTTGACTCCCCAGTGGTGGCAGGTTGAGAAGGTGAACCCTATTAAACTCTACGAGGAGAACAAGGTCATCGCTGGATTCTCGCTGCTCAACCTCCTGTTCAAGCAGGGCAGGTGTGGGCAGGTGAAGACGGTGGTGGAGAAACTCTTCTCCCTATACAACCAGAAGAAGATCAAACCTGTGGTGGACTCCCTGTGGGCACTGGAGGAGGTAAGGGGACAGCTGGTGGGCAGGGACATTTCCCTGAACACATCTGGCATGATGTCTTTGACTGGCAGGTCTACTGTACAGCCAACTAACAGATGGGTAGGGAAGTCTTAGAGAAGGTGGTATGGAAACGTCTTGGATGGAGTGTCATCTGTTGTTTGTCACTGTTCAGCTGTTAGTGGACGTTGTTTCGGCCCACAGATGGCAGGTGGGCCGTTGTTTTGATGGCTGTAGTTAGGCGACGTTCACATTCACGCCCACATTAATTCCAATGTACCAATCATCAATCCCTCCTCTCCATCTCTGCCAGTGCATTTCTCTGGGTTTCTGTCTTCCTCTTTCTGTTTCTACACCGTCACCAAATCTGTTTGTAAAGAAACACAAATGTGACATTTGGGTGTTTCAACACATTCTGTTATTTCTGTGGACTTGCTAGTGGAATTGCTAGTGGTTAGCAGGCAGCACAGCACAGAGGGGCATAGAGTCATTTATTGAGACTACAGTCCTGCTGCTATGAGGTAGAAGATTGGTGGTTTCATTATTCACAAGATCCCCTGCTTATAAAATAGTGAAAGGCTTTCCAGAGCTTTTCCTCTCCTTTCATATTACTGGTGTTTACCTCCACTCAGTTATTTCTTTATACAGATATACAGTATATATACAGATATTCACCTAAATCTGTCTCAAGTGAAAGAATGAATAGACAAATTGAATTATTTCTGTCCTTTCAATCCAATGTCTGTGACACTTAGGTTACTGTACATTTCATTGATCCATTCCAGTTTTTCTGGTAAGGCTGACATGTTATTTGAGTAGAAACAGTCAAGGGGATACAGTGTGTCATGTAATTTGATTGATTTACATTGTGTTGTTCAGGTGGCCAGTTCAAATCACCGAGCCGACCTCTCTGATTCAGAGGGGTTGGGTTAAAAGCAGAAGTAAAGTTTTGGTTGTGTGCACTTGACGATAAAAATAAATGCCATCCTTTCTTTGCTTAATTTTGGAGCTGAAATTTGCTGCCTGCAAACATGTTCTTGCGTCATTCCGGTTTTGAAGTTACAGAATAATTGGCATTTCCAGCAGAGAGAGGAGTGCGAGGAAAGCCTGTTTGAATAGTAGGGGACTATATGTTTGATTATATACATTATTTCTTGTTAGAAAAACCCTCCACCTATTTTAACATGGACCTGGTGCCCACCAGATGACTCAGAGACTTTTTCACTCCCTCCTTGATTTTGGCTTCTACTCAATGTGCCCTAAATTCTTTAACAAGGGAATTTTGCCTGTAATCAAAGAATGTTCATGAAGACCTTCAAAAAACGATAGAAACTCCAAAAATTAAGTTTATTAAAATGTAGAGAGTGTTAAGCAGTGCTAGTTTGGTATATGATTCTGTACAGTACACTCTTATAAAAAAGTGTTGCAAAAGGGTTATTTGGCTGTACCCATAGGAGAACCTGTTTTATTTCCAGGTAGAACTCTTTTGGGTTCCAGGTAGAACCCTCTGTGAAAAGGGTTCTACCTGGAACCAAAAGGGATATACCTGGAACCAAAAATGGTTCTTCAAAGGGTTCTCCTATGGAGACAGCCGAAGAACCCTTATTGGTTCTAGATTGCACCTTTTTTTCTAAGAGTGTACTGTTAACAAGAGGACATTTAATAAATGGGCTAGATTGTGTTCAGAAAGCAGCCTTGGTTGAACAGCCACCTCTGACTTGCTTGAAGACAGAAAGCAATGAATAGAGGACAAGATGTATTTTATACTGAACAAAATTATAAATGCAACATGCAACAATTTCAACAATTTTACAGAGTTACAGTTCATATAAGGAAATCAGTCAATTTAAATAAATTCATTAGGCCCTAATGTATAGATTTTACATGACTGGGCAGGGGCACAGCCATGGGTGGGCCTGGGAGGGCATAGACCCACCCACTTGGGAACCAGGCCCAGCCAATCAGAATTAGTTTTTCCCCCACAAAAGGGCTTTATTACAGACAGAAATACTCCTCAGTGTCATCAGTTGTCCGGGTGGCTGGTCTCAGACAATCCCGCAGGTGAAGAAGCTGGATGTGGAGGTCCTGGGCTGGTGTGGTTACACGTGGTCTGCAGTTGTGAGGCCAGTTGGACATACAGCCAAATACTCTAAAACGACGTTGGAGGTGGCTTATGGTAGAGAAATGAACTTTAAATTTTCTGGCAACAGCTCTGGTGGACATTCCTGCAGTCGGCATTCCAATTGTACGCTCCCTCAAAGCTTGAGACATCTGTGGCATTGTGTTGTGTGACAAAACTGCACATTTTAGAGTGGCCTTTTATTGTCCACAGCACAAGGTGCACCTATGTAATGATCATGCTGTTTAATCAGCTTCTTGATATGCCACACCTGTCAGGTGGATGGATTATCTTGGCAAGGGAGAAATGCTCAATAACAGGGATGTAAACAAATTTGTCCACAACATTTCAGAGAAATTAGCTTTTTGTGCATATGGAACATTTCTGGGATATTTCATTTCAGCTCATGAAACATTGGACCAACACTTTACATGTTGCGTTTATATTTTTGTTCAGTATAGATCCTTGTTAGCTTGGTTTCTTGTTTTTCCTTTTGATCCTATCAGGCATTGTGGTGGGAAAGTGACAGACTGACTCCCCACTATTCTGCATGGTTGTCATGGTTTCAGAAGTTGATCCATCCACAGCGTTCTGCAAAGTCATGCCAGGGAGGGTGGCACCTTTTAATGATCATACCAGAATAGGAAAGAAAGTGATTGAGGAATTGAAATCCCTAATTACAGATGTATCACACTTATATGACATACAATAATAAGTTATCATTTTTTCCCAATCAATTTTTTATTAGGAAATAATTATCAGTATTTGCCTTGAGGTCACTGTCTTCGAAATCAGTCATCAGAAGAAACTTGAAATCAACAAAATAATGACAGGCAATTACAGTCAGTGGAATAAATGCTATCCTAGCATGTCAGCTATTTTGAGTTGGCCATTAGAAAAATGTTGTGGATTATTGACTTACAGGCTTTCAGAGTGTTGACAAAGGTATGTATGTCAATAAGTCTTGCTTCTGCAAGTCCTACATTGCCCTCCTCATTTAACGGTATAAGGCAGAGCCAGTGTTTATAGTGTGATAAGACAGGAAGTGTTTTACCTTGCTGGCCAACTCTAAAAATACTCTTCTTCTTTTATTCTCTGTGTCTATTGTCTGTTAATAAGAACACAATTAAACCTACAATAATTTTACTCTGGGGACTGGATGTACTTGTAATGCTATTGACAATGATATTGCTCTCGGTGTGCAACAATAGTGCAGGCCTGAGTTGGTCAGAGAGATATGACCGACCTATCCATATGGTCCCTTTCCATCAGGAGACATAATGTGATGCGTGATGAATTGAGATCTGTCACCTGAGTGCAGAACCACCATTCCTGCTTTGATTACTACCAGCCTGACCCCCCCTGGACATGGCTCTTATTAAACTGTCTCTGCTGTTCACTTCTCCCCCAAGAGGGCTCTTCAGAACACATGTTCTCTTTCTGGAAGCCTCCACCACACAGAGAGTCATGTTTTGGTTGTGAGGTGTGTTTTGCCTTATGCTGTCACAGCATGGAAAAGTGTTATCTAGAAAGTCAGGGAGATTAGTACCTGCTGCTCCATACTCATCATAAGATGTAATAACATACTAACTACGTGGTCTGTATCACCTGACTGAGACGTCTGCAGACTCCTCACTGCCCTGGAGCAAAACTACTCTGCTAATCATGACAAGACTGCAGCCGGTACCACAGAGGAGGGTGAGAGAGTGTACGGGCGGAGAGAGGGAGAGAGGGAGAGAGAGAGAGAGAGAGAGGGAGAGAGAGAGAGAGAGAGAGAGAGAGAGAGAGAGAGAGAGAGAGAGAAGTGAAGGTTAATGAGAATGCAAGGGATAGTGGAGGATAGTGTTGTGAGAGGGAGAGGTTTGAAGGAGGCTTCAGTGTTGTAACATTTTACAGCATTGCTCACACTAAAGCTCAGCCCTAATAGTCATCCTTGTTTATGATCCTACTGTACTGCTTGGAAACAATACCAGACCCAGAGGGGGAAATAGATGAGTTGGCCATGTCTTCTCCAAGCAATGTGAATCTTATTACCTGTGTTGTGGCCATTCTATGAAAGCAACATTCATCATACAGCCCCAGTGTAGCCAGGGGCCTTGCTGTGATTGTTTGGTATTGTCCTCTTCCTTCTGTTCCACAGTGGTCATCAGGGAACTCATGCACCATCTCCCCGTGACATCCTGACCAGGGGATATCCTTTTGTTCTCCACAGCCTCTTAATGTCTCTAGACTCCGATTTGTTTTGCAAAGCATTATATCAAATGGGGTTGCACAATGAAAAGCAAGTTTACCTATAAGGCCCTTGCCTTGGAGAAAGGCCATGTGTTTCTGTCTTTTATTTTCTTCCTCTGCTTTGAAGAGCGGCTTTGAAGCCACAGACTTCAATTACTACAAACTATTCCTGAATGCCCTGAGCATCACAGAGGCAATTCTCTCCTGTGCCGTGAGTCAAGTGAAGTCCTGGAGAGGTCCATAGTGAAGTTGAGGGGGCTATTAGAGGAATGCAGCTGGAGAATGCACAAAGCTCCCCCCTGGAGATGCACATCAACCAGCTGTATCCTGCTCCTCCAAACCAGTCAGTCTTTCACAGCACTCCAGGAAATGAACACCCCTCCAGAAACACAACTCTAGTATGCTTTATACTGTGCTGCTCACTCAGTGAAGAAACCCTTTTTTACCTGGGCCACATGCATTTGTCTGTTGCCTAGGAATTGTCAGTGTCCTGACACCTGAACGCATATCGGTTGTTTTCGGACAGTTGTTTACTGTTGTTGCAGAGCTCTCCCTCCCACCCATCCTGGCTGTTCCACTCTGCTCCCTGACACCTCAGGTCTGGTGTTGGCAGGATGCAGGCAAGGCAGCCAGGCAGCTCTGGACAATCTGATTTATTGTCCTCTCAGACAGCACTTGTTAAAACTCAGCTCCAGCAGTGTTTTCCCCTCACCAACCTTTCAGGCAGAAGGCCATTCCTGACACTGGCATTACTCATGATGTACTACCCCCGTAGCCAGGAGACAGATAACCCAAGCCTCAGTAGATTCACTAGTCCACCTTGTCCTGGAAATATGTTCTGATTTCTCATTAATAAGACTGTCATGGTTAAACTCTGCTGAGTTGTCACCTAGAGATTGTGTAACACAAGCTTGAACCACACTTTCAATGCTTTAATGCTGTCGTCTGTATCCTATCATACATCTGAGAAGTATTCTCAACACAGCACCTTTTCTGTTGCTACTTGTTGCCCAGTTGACTCCTGCTCTGTGGTCTCGTGTAGCTAAATGAGCTACAGCATTAGTACTAAGTGGTTGTATATCACGGCACAGCTCTCAGCTTGGCCACACCAGCTCTAGCGTTACCTCCCCGGCTGAGCCAAGGTTGGCACTGTTGCCATAGGAACCACAGCCCTGCACTGATAAACAGGCCTGAGTGTAGCCAGGGACCTCTCCGAACGTGGGGGTGGCAGGAGAGTGACCAGGCTGCTACACCCTGTTATGACACCCTAGAGGCATTTTCACTGACCAATGACCTGTAGGACTGTGAAATCTATCAGCAGCATGTGGGCTCTCTGACACACTAAGACAGGCATGATATTACAGTGGGGAAAAAAGATTTAGTCGCCCCAATTGTGCAAGTTCTCCCCTTAAAAAGATAAAGCCGTAATTTAACATAGGTACACGTCACTATGACAGACAAATGAGGAAAGAAATCCATTGTAGGATTGTTATGATTATTTGCATATGGGAAAATAGATTGGTCACCGACAACAAGCAAGAATTCTGGCTCTCCAGACCTGTACTTATTCTTAAGAGCTCCCTCCACTGTTACCGTACACTGTTGGAACATCAGTATAAAAGACACCTGTCCACAACCTCAAACAGTCACACTCCAAACTCCACTATGGCCAAGACCAAAGAGCTGTCAAAGGACACCAGAAACAAAATTGTAGACCTGCACCAGGCTGGGAAGACTGAATGGTTTGAAGAAATCAACTGTGGGAGCA